GGTTTTATTAAATCACGGTGACAGGACCCATGGGCAGAAAGAGCTGCACCAGGGTCATGAGAAATGGCCCATTATATACTTTCAAGTTGGGAGGGGGTTAGGGATAGCGTAAATCTCTAAGGAATTTTGGAAGCAAGGTTTCCAGGACCTTGAGGGGGCTAGCTATTGTAGGGAAAAGATCATTTATTACTGTCTAAAAAAACCTGAGTCATGAGACCCTTCAGATGTATATTGGTGGGTCATATGCTTGGAGGATGATTGTCAACATGTATCTTAGGGGGTAGAGATAAAGGAAGTTTCCAAAGGAATTTTTATATGTTAAAGTAGACTTATAGGATCCTGGGGGTCAGGCTAAAATTGTCTTTTGCCTTAGCAAAGTATTAACATCCAGGCAGCTGAGTTCCAAGAGAAAGGTCACTCTGCCTGTTTCAAGGACTTGTCAATAGGCTGTAGATAGTAAGGAAATTTAATAATTATTCTTCTGCCATTGTTTCCCACATCACTGACCATGCATAAAATTCCTTTCCAAAATCCCTTTTCCAGAAACCTTCTACAACTTTCTTTTTTACATTCAGATTTTGTCTTATACTTTCCCTTTTTAAATAGTCAACCTCACTTTAGGACACTTTAGGATTATTTTTTCTTTACCCCCCCCCAAAAAAAAAGCATTTCTACTCTTTATGCCCCTTCTTACCAAAAACACACATCTTATTCTCTTCGCATACAGAGATGCTTCCCTTATTATTTCTAGTAGTCTTAATTACATTTATTAGAATCCTTAATTCTTAGACTTCTTAATTTCTAATGAAAACTAAGAAGTAAGCTGTGAACTGTTATACCAGCTTTCTTTAAATTGGCAAATTTTTGAATACTTTTTATAATTTCTAGAACCATGTGCTTTTCCATAGTACAATCTTTCAATAAAGCACAAAACATGTTTACCAACAGACCCAAATTTATCCTTAGTTTCTCTGTAATAAGGAATTCAAAAGCAAATAAACCTATATTCAGTAATTAAGGTTTCACTATTTCATCTTATTTGGAAATGATCCAGATATTCAATGAATTTAACTTAACTCATCACTTAACTTAGCAATTTTAAAGTTTTAAGTTACCAAAAAGGTTTGGTAAAACTATTTTAAAAGTTGACTTAAAAACTTTTATCTAATTTGCATCTATTCAATTTAGTTGCTCTTAACAATTAGGTTCAGATTACTCACATGAGACATCAGACAAAGCCAGCCATTCTCCCAAACTGGTTTTGTTGTTGTTGTTGTTGCTGTTAAAATTTTTTAACAGTTGTAATGTAACCTTATTTGGTTAGTATACCCAGGTACAATAAAAGTATTATATTTAATATTGATAACTCTAAAGGCATGTCTATTTTAATTAAACCAACACACTTCATTTAGCTTTTATTCATTAAAGATTGATCCTAGAGGGTGCCTGGGTGGCTCAGTTGGTTAAGTGACTGCCTTCGGCTCAGGTCATGATCCTGGAGTCCCTGGATCAAGTCCCGCATCAGGCTCCCTGCTCGGCAGGGAGTCTGCTTCTCCCTCTCCCACTCCCCGTTTGTGTTCCCTCTCTCGCTGTGTCTTTCTCTGTCAAATAAATAAATAAAATCTTTAAAAAAAAAAAAAAGATTGATCCTAGAGAATGTGAACTAAAAAGCACTTGGGTTAGTTTTTATATTTCTGAGGGCTTTAGAGTAGCCAATCCTTACAAGTGCTTGCCTTCAAACCAACTATATAGAGCTCTTCTACAAATTCTGGCAACATACCGTCTGTAGAAAAATACCACACATCTACAACATACAACATATATATACAAATATATATATAAATATATATACATATATAAGTATATATATGTATATAAGAACTTTCTTATATATAGTTCTATAGGAACTTTTATATATATATAAGAACATTTATATATATATGAACTTTCCCTTATGTTCATCACTTTTGTTTCTTAAATTCCACATGAGTGAAATCATATGGTATTTGTCTTTCTTTAACTGACTTATTTATATATGAGCTTTAACTGACTTATATATATATATATATATATATGTAACTTTCTCTGAGTTATACATATGAACAGATGCAGAGACCTGTAATATTTATAGAGACCTAATATTTATAGAGAAGATTTTTCATTTGTCCAATTTCCAAATACTTCCTCTTTCCTCCAAAACTTCTTTTTCTTTTCCTTCAGTTAAGAAACCTCTCCCTAAAGTTTGCATTTCAAAGAATTGCTCTTAGGTTGAGATATGAAAAGAAAATCTACATCACAAAGGCACAGAGAAAGTACCCAAGTTTCTTTGGTTACCTTGGAAGAACTTTGGCTTCCTTTTTCTTTTCTTTTTTTTTTTTTTTCAGATTTTATTTATTTATTTGACAGACAGCAAGAGAGCACAAGCAGGGGGAGCGGCAGACAGAGAGAGAGGGAGAAGCAGGCTTCCCGCCAAACAGGAAGCCTGATGCTGGCTCAATCCCAGGACCCCTGGATCAATACCTGAGCCGAAGGCAGATGCTTAACCGACTGAGATGCCCAGGCGCCCCTCTTTTTTTTTTAGTGATTCATCAGTTGCATATAACACCCAGTGCTCGTTACATCAAGTGCCCTCCTTCATGCCCATCACCCAGTTATCCTATCCCCCTACCCAACTCTCCTCCAGCAACCTTTAGTTTGTTCTCTATAGTAAAGAATCTCTTAGGGTTTGTCTCCTCTGTTTTTATCCTATTTTATTTTTCCTTCCCTTCCCCTATGTTTGTCAGTTTTGTTTCTTAAATTCCACATGAGTGAAATCATATGGTATGTCTTTCTCTAACTGACTTATTTCTATTAGCATTATATACCCTAGTTCCATCCATGTCGGTGCAAATGGCAAGATTTCATTCTTTCTGATGGCTGAGTAATATTCCTGTGTGTGTGTGTGTGTGTATGTGTGTCTACACCACACCTTTATCCATTCATCCATCTTGGGATTAGTTAAAAAAAGAAAGAAAGAAAGAAATATTGACCTTGAGCTCTTTCTGGGTCCTTATTTCTAGTTTTGCAAAGATTTGTAAGATAAGGACAGTTGCTCTCAATTCCTCAAAATATTGGGTTGTAATTTAAATCATAAATTGATATATCTATCCAACTTTATTATCCTCAATTGCTTCTTTCCTTCTGGGTACATAGTTTTCTTTTAGCTTAGGGAAAAGAGCCTAAAAAAATTCCTATCAGCTCTGAATATCAGCTTCTAATCTGGCCAACTTTTGACTACAGAGCTATTTTTAAAAATTCTTTTAAATATCTTGTCAGTTTTCAGCCAGGACAAATAGCAAATTTTTCTGGCAGCACTGAATAATCCCTCCTTGGGTTTAAGAGGAGTCCCTAAAGAGGATGCAAAGGATACTACCTTCCCAAGATCCAGTCACTCCCAAAAATAACCAAAAGAATCAACAACCTGCATGCCCCAGGTGGGTAGACAAAATGAGACAAGCAGAAAAGTAATAGTTATCCCTGGGAGAGAAAGGATCAATAGCCAATGGGTTTGGATTTGGAAAGGAAGAGGCACTGTCAAATTTTATTTTCCTCTTCTATCAGCCCCTGAAAATCAGTCTACAGCTGATCATTTGTAGGAGAGCCTATGAGAAATTCTGGTCATCTCTTTCCTTTATGAGAAAGAATGACCAATGATCTTTCTAATTCTCCTCTAAATTTAGTAGAATCTTCTGAAAAGATCTGCTGCTGTCCAGGGGACATGAATTCTTTTGGTGGGGGTCTAGGATTTATTCACAAAGGACATTACATAGGAAGGCCAGAAGCTGGCAAAGCCTGATTACAGAGTACAGCACAGTGAGTCCTACTGTCTGTCCCAGGTGCTTCTGCTAAATTCACTTCCTGACTTTCAGCATTTGCATGAGTAATCCATATACTCTAAGCCAAGAGATTGGGCTAGAGTGCTCTCTGTAAATCTTGTAGCAAAAAAAGAAAGCTAAAACAGGAAGATGGGGCCAGGTTTTGAGAAGGAGAATTTACATTTGATTTAATTTTTATTCTGAGTCTAATTTCTGTCCTTACATCTTACGGGGAGTCCCTAAGGGTAGTCATTGCATTTCTTTGAATCCCGCTTTTAATTTGCCCACATGCCAATGAATCAATTGTTTAGGATGACAGCTCCCTAAAAATCTTTTTCTTTCAAATACAGCCAAATCAAAGGATCTATCATCTGGCCGTTGAAGAGGAGGAATTCTCAATAGTGACTTAAACCAATAAGTCTTTTCATGAAAAGACCTGGAGGTAGCTTTCCAGGCTTAGAATAAATTTTTACCACAGACTTAAGAGACATTCCTGGAGTAGGTATAGATGATGTAGCCCCTATGATTCAAAAAGTTCATTCTCAAAATTAGTCTAAGACAGCAAAGGCCTTCACTGCAGGTGGTAAGGTGTCTTTAGTCTCCCAAGGAAGCATGAGATACCTCCAGTCACAGACTCGCTAATCTGTGACACTGGGCAGGCACTACTGGAATGGGATTTTTCCAGCACTAACACAGTAACAAAGGTTGAGATGACAAAAGCCCCTGTGAACTAGGGTCTCTTATGACAGATTCCCCTGAGAGCTGACATAGTTGGACGAAGACACCTGGATCCATAGCCTATAGGGCTGGCCACCAGATGCACAGCAATACATGCATCCTTTTGGTCTAGAATTTGCCATTCTTACATTGCCAGAGACCAAAGAGAGTATTCTCACTGGTCAAAAAGCCAAGCTCTCAGGATATAGAATGACACAGCAGACAGACCATCTCTGGGAGGAAAAGGATTAATAAAGACCAAAAGTATTCATATCAAATAACCAATCATTGAAATCAAAGGGCTAGTTCCACATATATTTTCTCCTGCTAATGTATATTTAGAAAAGGAAAAAAAGGACTCTCACCACTCTGCTTCCATTGGACTCTGCAGGTAGAGATCCAGGAGTCTGATGTGGTAAGAATTCTTACCTTTTGCAATTCTATCAGAAGTCCCAGGATCTTTCTACTGCAACAGCTTCAGAATGAGCAGTGCCCAGCCAGTGAGGTCTCGCTAGCTCACCAAAAGTGCTGGTGAAGAAAAATTTTCCTCTATCCTTCAAAGGTTTTTCCAGCCGGTCTAAGAATTAAATTGACATGAGACAGATTAACAGAAGAAAATCAAATTTAATTTTGTACATATTCCCATATGTACACACAAACATGACAGGTTGAAAGACAGAAAGGTAAAATGAAGCATATATGGGGTGTCTGGGTGGCTCAGATGGTTAAGCATCTGCCTTCGGCTCAGGTCATGGTCTCCAGGTCCTGGGATGGAGCCCCATGTCAGGCTTCCAGCTCAGCGGGGAGTCTGCTTCTCCCTCTCTCTCCACCTCTACCCCTGCTTGTGCTCTCTCTGTCTCTCTTTCAGATGAATAAAAAAAAAGAGGCATATATGCCATCCTGAACAAGGAATGGAAGAGGGGTGGAGGTGGTTAATGCACAGGGCAATAAGAAAAGCAGTTGACAGGAATTAGATGTTTGCCCTGCCATACAGGTGGGTCATTCAGAAAAAATTTCTCTCTGTTCAACTCTTATTCAGGGAAAGACTCCTCCAATTTAGATTCTTCTAGGTAGTTAAGGGAGGGGCAAAATGTTATCTTGAGCCCATAGGGTATTGAATGCCTTCAGCTCAAAATAGTCTGCATGCCAAAGTGGCACATTTTGGAGAGACTTCCTCTGAACCCCTTTGGTCCCATACATTTTAGAAATTTGTTGCAATTTCTTTGTAATCCAGTGAATGTTTAATTTTACTACAATGAATTTTATTACTACCCATGTTCACATATATGTACATGCATAGACACGACTAAATAGAGATACAACAAAAGATTAATAGTGGTGTCTTTCTCTAAGATAACAAGCGATTTTTATTTATTTTTTATACTTTTCAACATTTTCTATAGTTAGCAAATATTATTTTCATAAGAAAAATATTTTTCTAATACCAAAAATTATGTTTTTATATAATACAGTAAATTTTTATGACAATAAGATTTTAAGAATATTTTAAATTATACTTGACATAATTTAAGAATGCAGGATAGCATAAGGAATATATTAGAAAATATTCCACCAAATTTAAAATTTTAAGGACTAGTTCCATCTGAAAGAAGTCCAGATATCCAAAAAGTTCAATTTTTTGAGAAAAACTAACTCTCTAAATATTTTGAATAAAGTAATATACCAACAAAACACAAATTACAAAAATATTGTCTATAATGGTTGGCATAGAGAGATGTACAAGCACAGCATGTGTTTGGAGGGGGTGGTATATACAACTAAGTGACTGGAATTCATGAGTAATGCAATTTTTTCAAGGCCAGAGGTCACTAATGGTATTGATTTTATGGGCCCACACTACTGATCTGACGTTCTGCACTGAGATCTGTATGTATAAAGTCACTGTAAAATTTTAAAAGCTTTGGGTTTTATTTTTTTTAAAGCTTATATATATTTTAGATGATTCAAAAGCCAAATGATAGCTTTGTGTATCTTGTCTGAGAAATTAGCATAAAAGTGCTAAAAAAAAAAAGTGCTATGTAGATTCTAATAGGAAAAAACATACAAATTTTCCTGCGCCTGGATGGTGCAGTCAGTTAAGCGTCCAACTCTCGGTTTCCACTCAGGTTGTGATCTTGGGGTCATGAGACAGAGCCCCACATGGGGCTGAGTGCAGAGTCACTTAGGATTCTCTCTCCCTCTTCCTCTGCCCCTCCCACCTGCTCTCTTGCTCTCTCTCTCTCTAAAATAAGTAAATAAAATAAGTCCTTAAAAAAAGAATTACACCATGTAATACCACCATTACATTTTGAGCCTACAGGAATGCAGTAAAACACTAAAGGATATTCAAAAACTATCAAGATGAAGAAAAGGAAGGAGAAACAACTGTGGTTACCTTATACCCTATGTACATCCAAATCAGTAAACAAAGCTCATAAAATCTAACTTATTAACTTCTCCTCAGGTATTCTCCTCTCATCATTCAGACCCCTAGGGACTTTGTCCAGTCCTCCATTTTCCTCACGTGGTTTAATGCAACAACCTCCTTAATTTATACAGTCACCTCTAATCTCCCTCCAATCCAGCCTCCACTCAGTCTCTAGAGATAATGTCACAAAACACAAATCTAATCCTGTCACTTCTCTGCTTAACTACTCTGTCTTGTGTTCTTGCATCCCCTCCCAACCTTACTCACAACTGTTTGCAACCACCACACTGTCACCCCATCACAACCCTCCTTCAACAAATACTCCTATTTTTTTGAATTTTATTTATTTATTTGACAGAGAGAGAGAGAATAAGCAGGGGGAGTGGCAGGCAGAGGGAGAGGGAGAAACAGGCTCCCCACCCAGCAGGGAGCCCGATGCGGGGCTCGACCCCAGGGTCCCAGGGTCCCAGGATCATGACCTGAGCTCAAGGCAGACACTTAACTGACTGAGCCACCCAGGCGCCCCAACAAATACCAACTTCTAAACTGGCCATTGCAGGTTCTCCAAGATCTGAATCTAGCCTTACCTCTTGCTTTCTCATGTGCACACACACCCTCACCACACATCAGTCTATCTAAGCAACTTACCATTTCCAGAATAGATATTATTCTCTCTGCCTCCCCCACAATGCTACCTTGCTGCCCCTTCTGACTGCCTATCTCATCCCTGACCTCACACTAGTAAGGCTGATTTCAAATATATTACCCATTTGGCACCCCACAAATACTTTATAGATACAGGAAAAGCAAGTCCAAGACAAATTGAAGTCCCGTTTAAAAATATAAAACTACAGAGTATAGTAATTGAAAAGTGTTGTTTACATATTATTTAGAATATTAATGATAGGCTCTTTGAATTTGAGAACTAAAGTCTCCTATAGAAACTTATTTAACAAATTTTGTTTTGCAAATAAAGAATTTTGAAGCAAAACAGCAGTTTCTAAGCATTTGTGTTAAAAAAAAAACAGGCAAACAATAGTAATATTAGTTTATCCAACTATCATTTTAAAAGTCAATTCTTGGGGTGCCTGGGTGGCTCAGTAGGTTAAACATCTGCTTTCAGCTCAGGTCATGATTCCAGAATCCTGGGATCAAGCCCCACATTGGGCTCCCTGCTCAGCGGGGAGTCTGCTTCTCCCTCTCCCACTCCCCCTGCTTACGCTCACTCTCTCAAACAAATAAAATCTTTAAAAATAAACAAAAAGTCAATTCTTAAGTGCTAAGGCAGTTCAGATATAATCTACAATTTTTGAATTCCACTAACAATAATCAGTATTTTAATTAATTAATTAATTATAACGCCCACGACTTTGGAGGAAAGATCCAATGCATTTAATAACATTACAACATAATTTGTTTCTTATATCAGTTATTTGTTTTGTAAGACTATAATACCTTATCCCCATTGAAAATCTCTATTTTAATGGATATTCAGTCACAGATCAGTGACTATTATCAATCATCTCATCCTATATAACACATTTTCTCCAGAATTTACTGGCTTAACACAAAACACTTTATTTAGCTCACATTTCTGTTATTTTTGCAATTTGGGGTGGGTTCAGCTAAGCACTTCTGGGCTCATGTATGTATGTGTGCTTCCTTTGCTAGAGTGATTTGTTTTTGCTCCATGTATCTCCTCCTCCAGTTGGCTAGCCTGGCCTTGTTCAAATGGCAGGTCAGCCAGTTTTCCAAGAGAGGGAGCAGAAGCATGCAAGGTGTCTTGATGCCCAGCACTAGGATTAAATGAATTCTATTGGCCAAAAAAAAAAAAAAAGAGTCGCAAGCAAGCCCAGAATCAAGAAGCCACTGAGGAGATTCTACCTCCACTTCTTATTGGAAGGAGCTGCAGACATATGGCAAAGCACATGGTTACAGAAAACAGTGAATTGTGGCTACAAATTTTAGAATGTGAAAGGTATAGCTAAACAATAGGAGACTAGTGACATTTAAAGTCTGGAAATATCTTCAATATTAGAGCAAAAAGTTAGGCCTTTATTTGAATGCTAACAGCGACCACCAAAGATTTTAGCTCAAGATAGTGACAGGTTCAAAGCTGACACACCTTTTTTTTCCATTTTTAATTTTTTTTAAAGTAGGCTCCATGCCCAAGGTGGGGCTTGAACTCACAACCCTAAGATCAAGGATCAGATGCTCTACCCCTTGAGCCAGTCAGGTGCCCCTAAATATTCCCATGAGTTAGAGAGCAATCTAACCAGGTTTCTTCCACCTTCTGCCGGTATTGTTTTCCTACCTGGAATGCCATTCACTTCCAGAATTCCCCTTGACCTAGCAAGGCTCTGCTCAGTCACCAATAACTTTTTAGAAAACTTTCCCACTACCCACATCACTATACAGTTGGCTTAAATGCTCCTGTGCTATTTCTAGCACTCACCCTGTTGCACGTCAATTCTTTGTTTCCTCCACTGAACTGTGACTGCTTCCAGAGAACGAGAATTGGCTTCAATTTATTCCTCATGTCACAGGGAAGTGCTTGACATATGTAAAGCATCCCATAAATGTTTACTAAATCAACAGTAGGTGCAATGGCCGGTGGGGGAATAACTTATAGGTACGTATGACTATAGTTTTGTAAAGACAAACTGCTGTTAAATCGCCTTCAGAAGTCAGTGGCCTACAACGCAAAAATCATACAGGAGAACGTCACAGGAAAGACCCATTCTTTACCCACCAACCACATACACGGGATGATGTTTCTCTTTACGGCAAGACCCAAGAATCGCGCCGTGGATACCGTAAAAGGGAGGGAAGCCCTTGGGGAAGAAAATCAGGCTTCCCGCTTTACGGCACTTGTCAAGGCGCGAAAGTGCCCGGCTGTCGGTTGGAGGGGGGCGGGGGGCCTTCGCCCCCGCCCCCTCGGACTGGACTTCCGCTCACCCAGAAGGCGTGTTCCGGGCTCTCTCACCCCGCTCTGGGCGCCGGTTAAGACCACGGTCCCCGTTGCCGGTACTATGGAGGCGCCGGTGGAGGCGGAAGTCGAAAATGAAGACGGCGACAGCATCTGCGGGGATTTGTGCTTCATGGACAAAGGCCTGCGGAGGTAAAGGGTGCTCCGCAGCCAGGAGCGGCCCGCGCATCCCCCGGGCGGGAGCCGTAAACAACAAACTGCCTCGGAGCGGAGGCGGCACAGCCTTACCCAGACCGCACACAAACGCTGTCTGGCTTCCCCCCGCCTTACTGCGCAGAACTGCTCTGCTGGAGTGCCAGGTCCAGCGAGTCCTCATTCCTTTCCTCCTTGGCCTTTTGAGTAGCCTGGAAACTACCCTACGATCTCCTTCTCTACCAGTCTTTTGCCATCCTCCGTCTCTACTGGTTCTCCTTTCTTTACTGATTATTCTTCCTCTGCTTGCTCTGTAATTGTTGGTGTCCTCGGGTTCTATCTTGTCTCTTCTGCTCTTTCTCTTACCTTGACAAAAAGTGGCGCTGTGGTTTGGCCGGCAACCGTGGAGCGAAGGTTTACTGCTCTTCATTAGGTTTTCCTCAATTCTCTTTGCCTCCCTTCTAATTTCTCCTTTGCAGAGCACAATGATACATATATCCATAAACTTCTTGAGACTACTAAGCATCATATTTAGCTAACCATTTCCCTCTTTCATGCAGCCCAAATTTATGCATGACGTACTAGGTTCTTCATTCCGCCTTACCGGCTGGTCCCTACCTACCTTTTCGGAATTAACCTCTTAACATTTCTCCATTTACCCTCTGTGATTAGTCATGCTGACCTACATACAGGCAATTCCATAGTGGACTTATCTATGTTCCTTTGTGGCATGCCCTGCTCTATGCGGAACCTTGCTGCTGATAATTAAACCATCTTGTTCTGGATCATGATCTCATGATCTTTGCCCAAAGACCCCAGGGAGATGGTTTTTAAAGGAATATTTACATTTATATTTAATAATAGATGCCATTTACTGAATACCATCTATGTGTAAATATATATGTTATCACTACCCCTCACAATAATTCTGCAAGTTAGTAATTTTACAAGTGACAGATCTGAGACTCAGAGGATCTAAATAGTGTTCCCAAATTCTTCCAGCTGGTGAGCAGTTAAGTTCAAATTCAAACCTATTGCTGTCTAATTTCACTTTCTGCTTTTTCTGCTGTACCACATTATCTGCACAGTACTAATTTCCAGAAACTGAAATGTGTCAGAAAATAAATGACTGTCATTAAGAGCATGTGTTAATAGCACAAGGATAGCTCAGTAAATGACAGTAGCAAGGTAACTGGAAAACATTTCAACAGTCACATTTACAGATTGGTAGTTTCAAATTTACAAATGCTTTATCTTTTTCTTCCACATGTTATTATGTGCTTCATTCTGAAATCTAAGGGAGGAGCTGAATGACTTTATGGCATATTTAAAGTGTTTTTGATTTTTAATTTTGAATTTGAGATTCTTGATGCTAATTTGAAAGCACACCAGAATTCCTTATTTTCTTTTTACTCCCTGACTACTAAACTTCTCACTTCTCTACTGCCAGAGTTAAGTTTCCTCTGCGGTAGCTGCTACAGAACATTGAACAGATGCCCATGACATTGCGTGTCCCTATTCCCGACTGTCCCTCCTTCCAGCACCTCTGAACTTTGTGCACTGTAGTTTTTATTCCTGGAATGACCATCTTTAGGAGAGGTTCTGGTTATAAATGGCAGTACTTGAGAGAATGAGGAGATGAGTTCTATTTAGGGGAGGTGCATTCCAAATGTATAGAAGGGAGGATGGATTTTTTCACTAGAAATAGTAATAACTGGTTGTTTCTTTTGAAATCAACTACATTCTGGGTTAAATAGCTGTTGCAGACAGTAAAGAAAGATTACAAGCTACAGTGCCAGATCTGGATTTATACTGCCTCAGGTAGTAACTACAAGAACTTGGACAAGTTATTTAATTTCTGCAAACTTCAGTATGCTTATACCTATTGCTTAGAATTGTTGTGAGATAAATGAAATGAGAAATAGAGACTTAGAGAGGTTAACTCATTTATTCAAATAATTTAGCAAAAAAGAAAAAAATACTAGAATGCAGATTTGAACTGGGGTATTATGATTCCAGGGCCTTTACAATTACACCTTTCATTATATGCTGATGACTTGGTTGCTTATAGAAGGTAGAAATGCCCCAGGGTCACTTCCCTTTCTTGAGTGGGTTTCTTGTTTATCTGTATGGTCCAAAATACCAAAGAGTGGTAAGAAGCACGGTCCCTTATGAGATGTGAAAAGACTACCACAAGTAGGAAGGATTTCGTTATAGAATGAGTAGAGCACATGCTTATCATCTACATGCTGTTTGGTTGATTTTAATTATATTTGGTCATAATTTTTAAATCCGTTTCTTACTTTTGATAATCTATATTTTCTCTTGTAGCATATCAGAGTTATCTTTAGATTCATCCCTTCATGCCATCAATCTTCATTGCAATAACATCTCAAAAATCGAAGCCATTGATCATGTTTGGAATTTACAACACTTAGATCTGTCATCTAATCAAATAAATCGAATTGAAGGGCTAAACACACTGACAAAACTATGTACTTTAAATTTGTCCTGCAATTTGATCACAAGAATAGAAGGTTTGTAAGTGATTTTCATGTGATACTTTGCATAACGAAGATTATTTAAGTCCACTTTTCTTCTTCCCAATAGAATGGAATAAATATTACCATAAACTTTTGAAAACTGACCTTAAAATTTACTACATAAAAGTTTTCTTCTAGAAAAGTTAACAATTTTTTAAGTATTTTGCAAAATACCAGTAAAATTGATTTCACTGTTATTGGACTATAGAGTTGCTTCAAAACTGTCTGAAATAGTATTGTAATACTATATAGCTTTATTTTATCTTATTTTATTTTAGGACTTGAAGCACTAACTAATCTGACTAGACTGAATTTATCTTATAACCACATAAATGATCTTAGTGGTAAGTAGATAATCTTATGTTTTCTATAATGCTGAATGTTTGCCACATGTGATGAGTTAGGCTAAGCTCAGCATGCTGAAAACTGAATAATCCTGTTTTTGACCAAAAATACCATCTAGAGAGTCTGCTTCAGACATAATTCTTTTTTTGTTGGTGCCAAAGCTATGGCTGAATAAAAAATAGGAATACAAACTAGGTGATCAGTAACCGAAAAAACTTGGATAGAAGGGACTTCAGGAAAATAGTGTTTTAATCTTAAATAATTGATCGATATGCTATTATATAAAGAATAGTTCCAATAGAACTTTTTACAGTGATGAAAATATTAAATATCTATGCTGTCTGACATGGCAGCAAATAGCCAGATGTGTCTTTTGAGCACTTGAAATGTGGCTTGTGCAGTGAGGAGCTGAATTTGTAATTTAATTTTAGTTTAAATTTACAAAGCCACAGGTGACTAGTGCTACCATATTGGATCATATAGCATATTGGACCATACTGCATTCCAAAGGCTATATTGTAAATTGACGATCAAATAATTTTCTTTTCTTTTTGACTTTTAGCAGGTCTAAGAAGGTTAAACATTTTTACCTATTTTTTAATTGATTAAAGTGATACACTGATAAACTGAACAAAGTTTCGTGATAATTCTTAGAATTATCTGTTAGAACTGGCAGAATTCTTCTAATTATCATCATAATCCTGTCAATTTTTGAAAATCTTATTCATGTGTTTATTTTTCTCCCATACTAGAAAAATACTAGCCTACAGCAGGTATTTAATATACAAAAAATTAAAGCAATCTACTCCCTACTGTTAAGCTGGAATAGCAAGAATATTTTAATTTTTTAAAACTTTCTCCCCCAAAGTTGTGAAAGTATTGGAATTGAGTATTAACCCTAGCTCTGTCACTGCTATGTGATGTTGAGCAAAGAATATTACTGTTTAGATGCAGTTGCCTTATCTGAAAAATGTGAATCTTGGATAAGATTGCTCATTCGTTTACTCAACAAATATTTATTGAAGATCACTGTATCAAATACTGTTCTGTAGTAATTAAAAAAACAACAAATAGATAAAGTTCTTGTCATAGGGTTTACATTGTAGTGGGGAAGAAAAGCAAAAAATAAGATCATGTCAACCCCTCAAAAATAAGCAAAAGATTTGAGCAGAGCCTTTCCCAGGAGGAAATCTAAATGGCAGATTAGTACATGAAAAAAAAAAAAAAATGTTTAGCATCTTTAGTGGTTAAGGAAATACAAACTAAAACTGTAATGAGATCTACTTCATACCTACTAGAGTAGATAGTTTTAAAACTTATAATACAAAATACTGGTGAGATTATAGAGCAGCTAGAACTTGTACACATTGTGAGGAGAATTGAAAATGGAACAACTACTTTGGAAAACAGTTTGAAGGTTTCTTATAATGTTAAACATACACTTACCATATAATCATGCAGGCCCTCTCCTAGGTATTTACCTAAGAGAAATGAAAACATGTCTGTTCAAAAATCTGTACATGAAAGTTTATATGATTATATAGCTTTTTATATAATCATGTTTATATGATTCTTTATAATCTTCCCAAACTGGAAGCCATCCATACGTCTATCACCTAGTAAACAAATAGTGATTCATCCACATGATGGAATATTGCTTGGCAATAAAAAGGAATGAACAGTTGATATATGCAGCAACATGGACAACTCTAAGAAGAATTAGGCTAAGTGCAGGGAGTGAGACACAGAAAGATGCACTATATGATTCCATTTATATGACATTCTGACAAAGGCAAGTTACAGTGGCAGAAATTAGATCATTAGTTGCCAAGGGTTGAAGATGGGACACATTGATCGGAGTGATAGAATGTTCTGTATCGCAGTTATAGTAGTGGTTACACAACTGTGTATGCTTGTTTACGTACGTTGAGCTATACACTAAAAGGGTGCGTTTTAGTGACTTCATATCACATTATAATAAATACGAAGAAAATATAATAGACAACCCTGTAAGTTTTAATAGATCATTATGAGTTCAATAAATAAAGGCAGTATATATGATAAGTGCATGCACAGACACTAAGGCACCTTCAACCTTGTCATGATAAAGGAACAGAAAGAGGGGTAGTATGGCTAGAGCATAGCAAATGAGGGGTTAGTGTGCTAAGAAAAGAGATGAGAAAGTAGGCAAAGGCCAGATCACAGCTTCATACTCGGTAAAAAGTTTGCATATTATTCTAGGTGCAATACGAAGCCATAGGAGGGCTTTAAACAAGTGACATATGTGTTTTTAAAGGATCACTTTGGTTGCTGAATGAGTGAAGAATGGATTTTAGGAGGATAGGAGTGGAAGTCAGGTGACCAGTTAGGAAGCTATTTCAGTGGTCTAGGTGAGAGATGATGGAGACTTAGACTAGGGTGGAAATAGTGTAGAGGAGCAAATGGATATATTTTGCAGGTAGAGTTCATAGGATGTGCTGATGGATTGAGATAAGGAAATGAAGAAAAAAGGAATCAAAGATAAGTTAACTGAGTTTTTTCTGTAGCGACAGGTGGATGATGGGACTGGTTCCTGATGTGGGAAAGACTGAGGGAGAAACAGGTTTAGAGATGAGGGGATGAGAAGTAAGGATTCTATCTTAAATTTGAGAACCCTGTTAGACATGTGTGTATGTATATGTGTAAGTCTCAGTTCGGGGGTGGGTTTCATGGTTTGAATTGTAGATTTGGCACATCAAAGGCCATTTCCAGGCTGTACCTTTGCTCAGAAGCTCCATTTTAAAGCGAGTTCTGAGGGAAGAAAAGAGAAACATGAAGTGCTCCAGTGGGGTAAACTGTCAGCATGCATGGCCCCATCCACCACAGCTGCAGCTGAAGTCAGAGGCTGGTCAAGGAGACGTGGTACCAGGCACCAGTAACCTCTGCTGCAAATCTAGTTGTTAGCATTACCATGCTCTAGATAAACTCGTGTAAGAATTATTACCAGGGAACTAAATCAAATGGGTGCTATTTGTATTTTATGCTCAAACCAATAAAATTGAAGAGTACTGCAGGGTTTGCTTGTATCTGCTAATCAAAAATAATGTGTTGATTGAGAGCCTGAAGCCATTGCTTTATGCTTCTCCTAGAAGTACATGCATTGACCTGGAGAGGTCCATATGTTCTGTTTGAAGAGAACCAAAGACCAGGAACCTCTGGGCTAGGGCCTCAAAAGGGATGCTAACCCTGTGTTTCTTCAAAACAACAAATGTCTTTACTCATACGCTGTTTATTAGATGTGGCTGTTTACGGAGACTTCTTATTAATGCTGCTTCTTTGCCTCAAAATCTAATTTATATAAAAATTAACTTTAATTAGCTGTTGGAAAAATGACTTCAGTGGCATCAAGAGTTTTTTTTCCTTATTGCAGGTTTGATTCCCCTTCATGGAATTAAACATAAACTTAGATATATTGACCTACATAGTAATTGTATAGATAGTATTCATCACTTACTTCAGTGTGTGGTAGGATTGAACTTCTTGACTAATCTTATTTTGGAAAAAAATGGAGAAGATAACCCTGTCTGTCGTGTTCCAGGTATGAGCAATTAATACTTTTTGTAACAGTTAATATTCAGAGCTCCTTTGTTTTCTGTGACTGGTGTTTATGACCCTTTTATTTGTCTTAAGCTTTTTATTATATATTTGAAAAAACATAATTGGAAATAAATAATTTTATTAAGACAGATTGCGGTTAAGAGAGCACAGATAAATAATTCTATTTAGACAGTTTTATATTTGATAAGTGAATGCCTCAAAATTAAATTATGTTATAATCTATTCTTAAACAGTATAATAGTATGCAGCCATAAAAAAAGAATATAGAATCTTTAGCTACTGATACGTAATTATCTCCAAGATACACTGTTAATAGAAAAAAAGCAAGCAAGTTTGAAAACATTGCATATAATAGGTTACCATTTATGTGCAAAGGGTAAAATATGTGTGTGTATTTGCTGATTGTATATATAAAATATCCAGAAGGCTATACCAGAAACTGATAACAATGGCTAACTCCAGTATTAAGTAGGTAGGGATCGGGAAATGGCAGAAAGGGTGGAAAAGGTAGCTGGGAATCAGGAAATATTAGGAAAATTTTTTCCTGTATACCTTTTTAATTTTGTTTGTGAATGTGTTTAATAAATAAATGATTTTTGTAAGGAAGAAAACTTAATACGATATATTGAAGATGCTGCTGAAATGCCATTTGATCGAATTCAGAATCACTGAAGTTGGTAAATACAAAGCAGACCAGACTACTATTTCTTATTATTATCACTTATTTCAAATGGCTTAACCAAGCAATAAGATACAAATGGAAAATATGAATATATATTCCAAAGATCAGCTTGGGTAGAAGGTGGCTACAGAGTTGGCTCCATTCTGTCATTAATATGCAACTGTATGAAGGCTTTTCCCAGAATGGAAACCTATTGTGATAATTTTATTTCACAGAAGAATATAATAGATGTGAGATGAACTATTTTCCTAAGGCCATATAGTAGAGTCTACCTAAGAATCAGGAGAGACTTCAGTTTTCTGGGGAAACCCTGTTTTGGGGGGAAAAAAGCCTTATTTCTAAAACAACTTTTTTCTTCTTTTCCTTACTCACCCAAGTTGGATTTTTTCCCTGACAATTTGCCTTAAGAATCTCTGGTTCCTACAATTTGAACCTTTGTTTTTCACTTTGATTAGGTATTTCAACACGGTTGCCCTCCCCCTAGAATTAAAGGGATACTAAAATAACCTTTCTCCTCTCAAAATTTCTTAAATTGATTTGCCAGATTCTTTCTTTTGGAGTTCTTCCAACCACTTCACTGGCCTTTGTTAGAAATACTTGGTCTTAACATTATAGTTAAGCAAAGTTAAACTGTTTCTTTTAGCCTAGACACCAAATTAATGTTAACTTGTCAGATTTCTCATATTTAATTGTACTTAAGGAAAATAAACATATTCTTGAATAGTTGATAGATTGCCTATCTTAATCTTAGTTATATCTAATTTAAGGGAGAAAGATGGGGAAGTTTAATTTACTAATACTTAAGGCCTCACTAGCAAAATTCTGAATTTCTGGTGGTTACCCACATTATCCTGATTTATATTTATACTAATTATATTACAAATAAAAGACATGTTTAGCTTTCTGTTCAGAATAAGCTTACTGGTATCATGCATTTATAACTTTAAAGCAATTTTACAAAAGCTAAATCCAGCAATAATGATTTTTAACTTTCTGATCTTCACCAGGAGGACTATGTGGGAGGGGTGGTGGGAGTGTTTTGTTTGTTTTATACTTAACGATTACATACTAGAGAAGGACTAAGTAGCTTTTATTACAAGTTTATTAGTTGCATTCCAGGACTAATTTTATCATTCAGGTGATATATCTGGTAGGTGATAAATTTAGTGTATTTGAGAAATAATTAACTTTTTAATGCATGACTTTTTATTTTGAATGATTTGTTTCCAAGGGTACAGAGCAATTATGCTCCAGACATTGCCACAGCTTAGAATCCTAGACTGCAAGAACATATTTGGTGAGCCAGTAAATTTGTCAGAAATAAATTCATCACGCCTACAGTGCTTAGAAGGTCTTTTGGATAACTTAGTTTCTTCTGATTCTCCCCTAAATATAAGTGAAGATGAGGTATGGTATTGTTTTTTTCTAATATAAAAGATACCTTCAAATTTAATTAATGTAAACTTAAAAGATCTTGGTTTGTTTCTCTGTATCATAGATAATTGATAGTATGCCAGTGGTAACACCACCCATCGATGAGATAGCTCCCTTGGATCAGTTTGCATCACCAACAGATACTGGTTTGACATCATTTATATCTATATGTCCATCTTCTGAGCCGGAGAAAGTTAATCATGAAAACAATTTTCATAACGACATGAAGCTTCAGAAATTAGATGATCAAATTTTACAGCTTCTCACTGAAGTAACTGTTTTTCCTATATTTCTAAGCAATGTTTGTTGAAAAAAAAAATAGTTGAGAAAATGTAAAATAAAAATAGCATATAAGCTAACCAACCCGAAACAATTTATAGTTAACATTCTGTTGTGTGTGTATATTTTTTTCCTTTACAGAAATAGGATTCTGTTTTATAATAATAGTAGTAGAAAAAGATAACATACTTTTTTCACTCATTTTCCTTATTGTCCTTCAAATGTTTATTATATAATTCCTTTATTTTGCTGTATGTCACATTATTTCCACCCACCCACCTTTTGGCTTTGAGTAAACTCAGAACTCTTCTGACTCAGTGTTTATAAATATAGAGGATACATGAGTTACTTTGGGCCTCTACTATCTTCAATTGTTTAATGATCAAAACCACTTCTAGAACTTATAGCTGCATGACAGGTTAACTTACATAGTTCCTGCTTTAATTTCTGTTTACAGCAGACCCTCACCAGATTAATCTCTACTTTCCTGAGATATTCTTTTTTACCCCTGCTACTGGTACACTGGCTTTTAGAATCTTTGAATTATGTGGATGGACTGCAATGCCTAGATTTTACTGCTATTTGGGTCTCCAGACTTTGCTGTAGCGTTCTTGACTGTGATCTACAATAACAGTTGTTTTCTTAAGCACCACACTTCTGAGAATGCAGTGGATTATTATTTAGCCCCTACCTGGATATAGGGTAGAGATACTGTGGTACAGGCCAAAGAAGCTATTAGTCAAATGTCAGTTTGACCTAGATATTTGTAATTAAATTTTAATATTCAAAATTTTTTTCTCCAAATGAGGTGGAGGTGTGGAGTAGAAAATGCTAATTGTGGAATTATGGTTCAGAGGGTTTTTAATAATTCTGAACTATTATCATAGTTACAATACTAACATAACAATGCTAGATAAACAAAAAGTTTACCTTAGGGCAGTAAATGAATAAGGCTGTAAGGATTTTGTGTGCCAGAAAACCCTAGACACTTCACTTGGGCCACAGAGGTGGGTAGGAATAGAACTGGGATAAGAATGCTGGCCTATACGTTCTTTAACATCATTGATAACATGTCACTGAGCTCTCCAACTTCTCCGTTTCCTCAGATTTCATCATTCGTCTTTTCTAAAAGCTGATTCTTCTGCCAATATCAGAACTTAGGTTTAATTTTAGTAACCTGAATTTGAAGTGAACTTTTATGGCTTCTTCTGTGCCATCCTCATTTCATTCTCACAACACACCAGTCAAGTAGCTAGGGATCAATATATCGTTCTTATTTTATAGAAGAGAAACTCAGGAGTTTATCTAAGCGTCCTTTAATAGTAAGAGTTGAGCTTCACACCCAAATCTCTGATATCCAGTCTGATATTCTTTCCACCAGCATGCTTCTTAACTCAGTTATGATGATAATTCTTCCTACTTTGTAACCAAAAATAGGAGTCTAGCTGTCTGGGGGAAAAAACATGATTCATTTCTCTGCATAATAAAAAAATTAGGTGGATGCTAACTTGTGTGAAGGGTAAACATACAGTTTTAATTTCAGTTGATGTATATACTCAATGTTATTTCAAAAGTAGTAATTTATAAGTGAGGTCATAAAATTACTGAAAATGTGCTATACTACAATGATATTTTTCTTAACTATGGGACTTATTATTATTTCACTGATCTTGAGAGTTCTCTGTGAAGACTTTTGTCTTTTAGTTTTTCCCTACCATTTTATTATGAAATTTTCAAACTTAGAGCAAATTTGAAAGAATTTCTTAGTGAATACCAGTATATCCACCAACTAGATTCCACTGTCAACATTTTACTTTGCTTATTTCATCGTGTATCTATCCATTTATTCATTTATCAGACTATCTTATGACACATTTCAAAGTAGATTACATGCATTGGTATATTTCCTTCAAAATACTTACGCATGTATATCATTAACTATAGAGTTCAGTATTTTTTTAGCCATCTCTTTTTTTTTTAATTTTTTTTTATTTTTATTTATTATTATTTTTTTAAAGATTTTATTTATTTATTTGCGAGAGAGAGAATGAGAGAGAGCATGAGAAGGAGGAAGGTCAGAGGGAGAAGCAGACTCCCTGCTGAGCAGGGAGCCCGATGCGGGACTCGATCCCGGGACTCCAGGATTATGACCTGAGCCGAAGGCAGTCACTTAACCAACTGAGCCACCCAGGCGCCCTAGCCATCTCTTTTGATGTAAAATACAGATACGTGTTTTCCCTGAATTGACAATACATATACCTGCTACCCAACTTTTACGAAGATAAACATAACCATCATCAACATTACCTCTTCCCTGTCAGTCTTCTCCCCCAAGGCAATCACTTTCCTCCCTTTTTCACCATAGATTACTGAATGCTTCTTCCAGAACCTAATATAATATAATATAATATTGCAGTCGTACAAATATACTCTTTTGTGTAAGTCCTCTTTCACTCAGTATAACTTTGAAATCATTCCATGTTTTATATCTATTCTTTAGATCTTTTTCATCATTCTCAGCGGTAGTTTTAGTATACAAGTTTTACATATTTTTTATTAAATTTATTCCTAAAGGGCGCCTGGGTGGCTCAGTTGGTTAAGCGACTGCCTTCGGCTCAGGTCATGATCCTGGAGTCCCTGGATCGAGTCCCGCATCGGGCTCCCTGCTCAGCAGGGAGTCTGCTTTGCCCTCTGACCCTATCCCCTCTCATGTGTTCTCTCTCATTCTCTGTCTCTCAAATAAATAAATAAAATCTTTAAAAAAAAAAAAAAATTTATTCCTAAGTATTTTGTTTTATAACACTGTAAATTGAAGAGTTTTTGTGGCTTCATATTCCATGATTGCTGCTTGTTTGTGAAATACCTTTTATTTTTATATGTATATAGCTTGGATCCTATGACTTTGCTAAATTTACTTAATAGTTCTAGTACTTGTTTTGTATTTTCCTGGTAATTTTCTACATAAACAGTTACATGGAGACAGTTTTCCTTCTTCTCTGACCTTTATGCTGGTCCTTTTTGCTTTGTTGCAATAGCTAGAATTTGCAGTGCAGTACTGAAGATAAATGGTGAGAGTGGGCACTTTTGTCTTATTCCTGATCCTTGGAGAGCCTTCTGTATTTCACAATTAAGTATGATGTGAGTCTTACGTTTTTCATAGATGTCCTTTATCAAGTTAAGGAGTTTACTTTTGTTCCCAATTGGCTGAGTTTTCTGATGTTGTTGAATTTTTTTTGTTAAATGCTTTTTCTGCATCTATTGAGATGATCATATGTTTTTTTTATTTTTTACTCACATAATAGTATGAATTACATTGATTAGTTTCCAGATGTTAAACAAACATTGCATACTGGGGGTAAACCTCATTTAATCATGATAAATTATCATATATTCTTGGATTTAGTTTGCTAATATTTTATAAGAGTTTTTACAATTTGCTCATGAGGGATATTTGTTTTTACTTTTATAGTAGCATCTTTGGTTTTGATATTAGGTTAATGTTGCCCACCTAAATGAGTTGAAAACTGTCCCCTCCTCTATTTTCTAAAAAATTTTTGTAAGATTGGAATTATTCTTTCTTAAATGTTTGATAAAGTTCACCAGTAAAATTATCTGGCCCTGGAAGGTTTGTGATAATGAATTCACTCTCTTTAATAATTATAAGGCAACTCATTTTCTGTCTCATTGTGTGTTGCTTTATATAAGTTGTGTTTTATAATTTGTCCATTTCATCTAATTTGTCAACGTAAAATTGTTACTAATATTCTCTTACTGTCTTTTTAATATCTGTAGGATCTGTAATGATAGCCTTTCCTTTATTACTGATAATGATGATTTGCGTCCCCTCTCTCTCTGTTCTATTTTATATATATATATATATGTGTGTATATATATATATATTCTTTTGTCTTGGTCAGTTTGGCCAAGGGTGGGGTACCTGGGTGGCTCAGTTGGTTAAGCGTCTACCTTTGGCTTCAGGTCATGATCCCAGGGTCCTGAGATCTCCCTCTGCCCTTCCCCCTTTCTGCTTGTCCTTGCTTGCTCTCTGTCTCTCTCTCGTGCTCTCTCTCTCAAATAAATAAAATCTTTTTTAAAAAATTAGTCAAGGGGCGCCTGGGTGGCTCAGTCGTTAAGTGTCTGCCTTCTGCTCAGGTCATGATCCCAGGGTCCTGGGATCGAGCCCCGCATCGGGCTCCCTGCTCGACGGGAAGCCTGCTTCTCCCTCTCCCACTCCCCCTGCTTATGTTCCCTCTCTTGCTGTCTCTCTCTCTCTGTCAAAAAAAAAAAAAAAAAAAATTTAGTCAAGCGTTTTGTTTCTGTTTACAAAGATGAATTTTGTTAATTTTATCTGCTTTCTGTTTCCGGTATTACTGATTTCTACATTTTCAAATGTAGAAATTTCTTCAAAAGAAGAAATTATTTCTTCTACTTACTTTGAATTTACCCTTCATTTTTTAGCTTCTTAATGTAAGTGCTTAGATTATTGATTTTAGACCTGTCTTCTAATTTAAATTAACCATCTAAAGCAGTAAATACTTTTAAGCACTGCCTTAGCTACAGTTCGCAAATTTTTATACGTTTGTTTTCATCGTTATTTACCTAGAAATATTTTCTAATTTCTCTTGTGATTTCTTCCTTCATCCAAGGATTATTTAGAACTGTCTCGTTTAATTTTCAAGTGTTTTGGTTTCTACATATGTTCTGTTAGTAACTTCTAATTTACTTTCATTTTGTCAGAGAACATTCTAGATAATTTTAGTCTTTTTAAATTTACTGGGACTTACTTTATAGCCCAGTGTGTGGTCTATCTTGGTGAATGTTCTTTGTGCCCTTGGACAGAATGTTTATTGTATACTTGTTAAGTCAGGATGGCTGATAGTATTTTCAGATGACTCATGTCATTACTGATTTTTTTATCTAGTTCTATCAGTTGCTGCTGATACTGATTTTTTAAAGATTTACTTGTCTGATTCTATCACAAAAATGTTAAAATCTCCATCTAAGTTTAGATTGGTCTGTTTCTCCCTTTAATTCTCTTAACATTTGCTTATTATATTTTGAAGCTCTGTTATTAAGCACATACATGTTTACAGCTGTTCTGTCTTCCTAATGAAGTGTTCCTCTTTGTCTTTGGGAGTGTTCTTTGTTTTGAAGCCTGTTTTATCTGATATTAATAGAACCATTTCAGCCTTCTTACGCTTACAATTTATATATAAATCTTTTTCCATCAATCCGGGTTTTTTTTTAAAAAAAACAGCTTTATTGAGCTATAATTCACTTACCGTACAATTCAGTGGTTTGTACCCATTAGCAGTCACTACCATTTTCCTCCAGCCCTAGGCAGCCACTAGTGGATTTTATTTTTATATGGATTTGCCTATTCTGGAAATTTCATGTAAATGGAATCATCATTATGTGGCCCTTTGTGATTATATTCTTTCATTTAGCATGATGCTTTCAGGTTTTACCCATTTTGTAGCATGTATCAGTACTTCATTTTTTTTAATATAACATAATCTATTGTATGGATATACCACATTTTATTCATTCTTCATTTGGTTGGTTAATTTGGGTAATTTCCACTTTTTGGCTATTATGAGTAACACTGCTGTGAACATTCATGTATATGCTTTTGTGTGAACATAGGTTTTCATTTCTCTTTGCTATATATCTAGTAGTGGAATTGCTAGGTCAAATAGTAACTGTGTGTTTAACCTTTTGAGGAATGACCAGACTATTTCCAAAGCAACTGCACCATTTTACATTCCTACCATCATTATATGAGGGTTCCGGTTTCTCCACATCCTCACCAACTTGTTATTATCTGGTTTTGATGATAGCCATCCTACTGGGTATGAAGTGGTAGCTCATTGTGCCATCCATTCACTGTTAACTTACTATATCTTTATATTGAAGTAAGTCTTATATATAGGTGGGTCTTGTTTTTCAATTCAGCCTGGCCATCACTCCTTTTTTTTTTTTTTTTTTAAAGATTTTATTTAATTTATTTGACACAGAGAGAGAGATAGTGAGAGAGAGAGCACAAACAGGGGGAGGGGCAGGGAGAGGGAGGAGCAGGCTCTCCGCTGAGCAAGGAGCCTGATGCGGGGCTCGATCCCAGGACCCTGGGATCATGACCTGAGCCGAAGGCAGCCGCCCAACCAACCAAGCCACCCAGGCGCCCCGACATGGCCATCACTCCTTTTGAAGAGTCCATACTCCATTGAAATTTACTGTAATCATTGATGAAGTTGGATTTAGGTATACCATTTCATTATTTGCTTTTTGTTCACCTTTTTATTAATTTTTCTACTTTTTCTATCTTCTATTGTATATTTTTTATGATCCAATCTTAATTTGTATTTCGTTCTGTAGTCATACTTTTTATTTCTGTGTGTAATAACTCTAAAAATAGACTTTTCAATACTATATTCATCTAAAATGTAGAATTCTTCCTTCTATTACACTTTGTTATAGTTGCCATATGTATTTCATTGGATGCATTATAAACTCCAGAGACAATGTTTTAATTTTTGCTTTAAAGGAATTAAAAGTAAAAAATATTTAAAAATTATTTGTATTTACCTGTATATAAATCATATATGAGGGGCACCTGGGTGGCTTGGATGGTTAAGCATCTGCCTTCGGCTCAGGTCATAATCCCGGGGTTCTGGGATTGAGCCCCACATCGGGCTCCCTACAGAGTAGGGAGCCTGCTTCTCCCTCTCCCTCTGCCTGCCGCTCCCCCTCCCTCTGCCTGCTGCTCCCCCTGCTTGTGCTCTCTCTCTCTCTGTCAAATAAATAAGTAAAATCTTTTTAAAAAATAAAAATAAATCATATATGACACTCTCTGAAAATTTAATTTCCTTGTAGTATTATTTTCCTTCAGTCAGGACTTTTAGCCTGAACTTCCTGTAGCAAATCTTGTAGTGGACATCTGAGAACACATGCCTTTTGAAGGACATTTTTTGCTGAATATAGAATTCTATATTGACGGCTTTTTTTTTCTTTTAGTACTGTCTCCTGGCCTCCATAGTTTTGAATGGAAGTCAGCATTTTAGAATCCTTGATTTCCTGAATATAATGTGTCATTTTTCTTTGGCTGCTTTCAAGAATTTACCTTTACTTTTGGTTTTCAGCAGTTTGGCAACATTGTGCTTAAGGATACTTTTCTTCATATTTGTCCTACTTAAGGTTTCTCTGAGGGTTTTAAATCTGTAAATTGGTCTTTACCCAATTTAGGAAAATTTTGACATCATTTCAAATATTTTCCTGTCCCATATTCCTTTTTCTCAGATTCTGCTTAGATCTTTTGATACTCTTCCACGGTTCCCTGAGATTCTCTATATCTTATCAATTTTTTTTTCCTCTGTATTCATTTTAAATAATTTTATAATTAATAAATAATTTTGATAAACTGATCTTCAAGTACACTTATTCTTTCATCACCTCATTCTCTTCTTAAGACCAGCCAATTTTTACTTCAGGTGTTGTATTTTGCAGTTGTAAAATTTCCATTTTTTATAATTTCTTTTTCTCTGCTGAATTTTTCTTTTCATTCAAGACAAGCATATTTTATATCATTGAATATGATTATAATCACTATTTTAAAGTTCTTTTTTATTGAAGTATAATTGATAAACAATAGTTTATAGTTTCATAGTTACATAGTTTCAGGTGTACAACATAGTGATTTGACAACTCTCTATATTATGCTCACCACAATTGTAGCTACCATCTGCCACCATACAATGCTATTACAATACCATTGACTATATTCCCTATTCTCACTTAGTCATTCCATAACTGGAAACCTCTACCTTCCAATCTCTTTCACTCATTTCGCCCACCCCTTCATCCCCTCCCCTCTGGCAACCACCAGTTTGTTCTCTGTGTTTATGGGTCTGTTTATGGTTTTTGTATGTTTGTTCATTTGTTTTTTAGATTGCACTTATATATGAAATCATATGGTGTTTGTCTTTTTCTGACTTATTTCACTTAGGAGAATACCCTAGGTCCATCCATGTTGTCACAGATGGCAATATAATTCTTTTTTATAGCTGAGTAATATACCATTGTTCTTTTCTGCTTATTTGAACATTTGGATCCTCTCAGGTTAGGTCTCCATTGATTGTGTTTTCCCTTGAGAATAGGTCATATTTTGTTGGTTCTTCCTATATTGAGTAGTTACAGAATTTATCCTGGACGTTGTGAATGTTATGTTGTGGAGACTTTAGATGCTATTATAGCCCTCCAAAGAATGTTGATACTTTTGTCATAGCAAACGTTTGACTTGCTTTCACTTAAACTATAAATTTGTCTCTTAGGCAGCAGTTCATTTTTTTAATCCTGTAACTGGGCTTCCTACAGTCTATACTGTCCAGTGATTCTTCAGGCCCAAAAGTCTTTGGTTTTTCTACCTCAGTTTTAAGACTCCCTATGTACTGGGGCGCCTGGGTGGCTCAGTCGTTAGGCATCTGCCTTTGGCTTGGGTTGTGATCCCAGGGTTCTGGGATTGAGCCCTGCATCGGGCTCCCTGCTCGGCGGGAAGCCTGCTTCTCCCTCTCCCACTCTCTCTGCTTGTGTTCCCTCTCTCACTGTGTCTCTCTCTGTCAAATAAATAAATAAAATCTTCAAAAAAAAAAAAACAACTCCCTATGTACTGCTGATTGTGGTAAGCTCTCGAGTGAAAAACCATAAAAACAGAAACACCCTGTTCTGGTCATTTTTTCCGTGTGTCAGCTCCTCTCTAGAATAAGCCTGCTTTTGTTCACTGTCCAAGGCCTCCAAATAGTTTTTGTTCATAGTTGTTTGTTTATATTTTTCCTAGACTTTATCATTGCTATCTTGAGAATCAACCTCATAGGAACTTGTCCATACCAGAAGCTAAATTCCTGTCTTTAATTCTGAACATACCTAGTTTATGAACCTTTAATCTTATAAAAAGTCATAATGTTTTAGGAAATTTGACATTTAAATCTTTTATACTGAACTGAACTTTTAACAAACTTTGTTGGTTTTTTATTCTAGACTTCTGATTCTTTATTAGATAATGTTCCTGAGAAAGATCTCAGACCAAAAAGAGATACAGATATGACTTCTGAAAGTGACTATGGCAACAGAAAAGAATGTAATAGAAGAATTCCTCGAAGATCAAAAATCCCATATTATTCTAAAACTATTCAGACTATTAAGCACCACAATAAAAACAACCCTTTTATGAGGTAATTGTTTTAATTTTAGAAATTCAAATAAGGCACCCAGAAGTTAATACTGTTGGCTTGTTTCTTTAAGGTTTCTCAGAGTGATATTTCTTTTCTAATGTCAGAGATTTGACTTTCCAGCCTTGTTGACTCAAATTTGTTCAGTATATTTATATAAATTTATTCAAAAGGATCCCTTTCACTGATAGACTGTCGTTACCTCAGTTGTGAAAACTAGTATGAATACTGTACGTTTCTTTGGGTTATTACCTATGTTTTACTCTTTGCAGCTGTAATCGTAAAATGAAACCACCTTTCTTTAAAGATTTATATGTAAGATCATCTTTAGCAAACTGTAATATGTTAGAAGAATCAGAAGAACAGAAGACTGAAATCATTAAAGTAGACAACAGTAGCTCAGAAGACACCACTTATCGGGTATGATATGAAAGATTAAGGGGGCATCTGGGTGTCTCAGTCGGTTAAGTGTCAGACTCTTGATCTCAGCTCGGGTCTTGATTTCAGGGTGGTGAGTTCAAGCCCCACATTGGGCTCCACACTGGGAGTGGAGCCTACTTAAAAAAAGAGGAAGAAAGGGGCGCCTGGGTGGCTCAGTTGGTTAAGCAACTGCCTTCGGCTCAGGTCATGATCCTGGAGTCCCGGGATCGAGTCCCGCATCGGGCTCCCTGCTCAGCAGGGAGTCTGCTTCTCCCTCTGACCCTCCTCCCTCTCATGCTCTCTGTCTCTCATTCTCTCTCTTGCAAATAAATAAAATCTTAAAAAAAAAAAAAAAAAAAAAAAAAAAAAAAAAAAATTAAAAAAAAAAAAAAAGAGGAAGAAAGATTAAGAAAAAAAATGAATGTGAATAATCTTAGTTTTAAATATGAAATTAGTCTCAGTAAAATAATACATGTTTTTATGAGCAAAAAATATTGAATATAATTTTACTAGGGTGATAGATTGGGTTATTTTCCTCTTCCTGACTTCCAGATTTTGTATATTTTTGTAAATTGTAAAGGAATGGAAATTACACATTTATCTAAGGTCAAATTTTAGTGAAATCATTTGTTATATGTTTGTGGAGGAAAAAAAACAGATCAAAATTTTCAAGTTCTTGTTTTTTTTTTTTTTTTTTTTTTTTTTTAAGATTTTATTTATTTGAAAGAGACAGACACAGTGAGAGAGGGAACACAAGCAGGGGGAGTGGGAGAGGGAGAAGCAGGCCTCCCACTGAGCAGGGAGCCCCTTGTGGGGCTCGATCCTAGGACCCCAGGATCATGACCTGAGCCGAAGGCAGATGCTTAACGACTGAGCCACCCAGGCACCTCTCAAGTTCTTACTTCTTAAAGCAATGGTTTCAGACTTTTGGGTCTCAGACTCTCAGATCCATAGCTAAGGAAATTTATGGGTCTTCTCAGGGGAACTTGTATATACACTCAAAAAATGTGTTTAATATCAAGACTTCTGAAACCCAGTTTTGGATGCATGGATGCCGGATTAAGAGGCCTTTAAGAAAGGCACCTGGCTGGCTCAGTCGGTAGAGCATGAGACTCTTGATCTCGGGTCATGAGCTCAAGCCCCATGTTTGGCAGAGAACTTACTTTAAAAAAACCAAACCAAAAAAAAAAGGCCTTCAGGAATTTAAATATTCTTCAGTATTTGCCTTAATAATTCTCATGTTGTTAAGAATTTTTAGTACACGTTGATTTATATTTTTCTAATATTAACTTGCCCTTGTTTTACTTATGAAGTGCTAGTTACACTTTCAATTGTAATGTGCACTGTTCTTCCAGTAGTGTAATGGGTTTTTTAACAGTTTCAAACCTTTCATGCCATTGGTTTCCTCTCCCTGTTCTCAAGTATAGTGGCTTTAATGTTTGAAAAATAATAATTATCATTAGAACAGTAATAATAGCAGCTAACATTTATTGAGTGGCTATTATGTACCATGCACTGTTTTATATACTTTACTTTCATTAATTTAATTCTTACCACAGCCCTTTGAATTAGATAACTATTATTCCTATATTATAAATGAGAAAATTGAGGCAATGAGAGGTTCAGTAACTTTTGCAGGTTCACATAACACTATTGTTTTCTTCCAGACACTTGTTGAACAACTAGACCAAGAGAGAGAGAAGAGATGGAAAGCTGAACAAGCTGAAAAGAAACTTATGGATTATATTGCTGAACTACACAAACATGCAAATGAAAAAAAAGATATTCATAGCCTGGCTCTACTCACCACAGATAGGTAAGGGAAAAGTCTGTAAACCGAAAGATCTCTCCTAGTGCAAAGAATACTAAACTTGGATCTGGAATACCTTAGTTTATACTAGGTGTAATAAGATCAAAAACAATGTATGTGGTTTTAGTTTGTTTTGAACTAATTTTATTTAAAGATTTAATGCTTTATAAATTTGTTATGTAAATGAAGGATTCAGGTACACTTACTTGTGCCTTCAAGCTGAGAAGTGTTAGATCAATAAATAAGTATAATAAGTGAAGAAGAGCAAAAGACTAGAACAGGGATTGGCTTTTTTTTTTTTTTTTTTTTTTTTTTGTTGGTAAAGTGTTGGTTTCTGTGAAGAATAGGGATTGGCAAACTTTCAGCTTTGTGAGTCATATTTGGTCTCTGTTGCATATTGTTTTCTACAGTGGGTTTTGGTACCAGATAACCCAAGTTTCTTAATTCTGCTATTTCTGCTTTTCCATCTTATCCATTCCATTGCCTATTTTATCTGTTTTTTCTGTATATATTCTCTAATACATTTTTGTCTTACTCCATTCTGTGAGAATAACAGTTTTCTGAAATTACAGTAACCTTTATCTTCTGTTTCTTGTAGGTAATTATTTCTAAAGTTATATTTTTCCTCGGGGTGCCTGGGTGGCTCAGTCATTAGGCATCTGCCTTCGGCTAGGGTTGTGGTCACAGGGTCCTGGGATCAAGCCCCACATCGGGCTCCCTGCTCAGCAGGAAGCCTGCTTCTCCCTCTCCCACTCCCCCTGCTTATGTTCCCTTTCTCACTGTGTCTCTCTCTCTCAAATAAATAAATAAAATTAAAAAAAAAAAGTTATATTTTTTCTCAAAGGGTTACAAGACCTTTCCATAGAGTTCTTGTTCATTTTTATCTCTTATTCTTGAATGAGCACTGTGTTTCTAGATTTAGTATTTGCCAACAAATAAGGTTTGGGAAGTTGCTCTCAGTTCCATTTCCTGTCTGTTTATACAGTGGATAAATTCCCAATCTTAATAGATTAGTAAGTTGATATACACAGCTCCCAAGCCAATTCTCAGGTTCTTTTAGGCATTTAACTAGTAAAATTTTGTGGTACTCATGTATTTTCTATCCCCCACTACCTGTTTTTCTCATACTTTGTACCTACGTATTATAAGGAAAATTATAATACCCATCATTCTATGAGACCCTCTCAGTTATGCAAGCTATGATGCATCATTATACTATTACTGGTCCTTCTACCACCACCCACCAACTTCCTGCCTTATTTGTTTTGGGAATTGCTATCTTTGATAAAAGAAGATGCTAGACCGGGGTAAAGAAACATGATGGGTAAATTAACAATCTCTGACTACCTCATTAGGTACCTAAGTAGCTAATAGAGTGCGATAGTAGATGTATAGAGCCCCTGTGACCCTGAATCATGCAAGAGAGAGAATGCATCTTCCTTTTCTTCCTCCCAGAAAGATGTGGTTTTATGAGGCTAAGCCTGTGTGTTCTAGGAGTTGTTTTAATTTAGTTTTGTTTGCCTTATAATTGAAATTTCTCCCAGACTTTGACATGTTTTCTCTTGTTTTTAGAGACCCAAGCTGGGTAAACATAATGCCTTAGTCCATGGCCACAGTGATTGGTGCATACAGTGGACATATGAACCAAATTGGACTAATCAGAGCCTTTCCTAGAACTCTTCTAAATTGAACTAGAGGAAGATAATCTTTTCTATTTGGTCCTCAGAGCTGTTAGAATGTGAGCCCAGGAATGTTTGTAGCTTTTTCCTTCTCTCCATCATACTTTACAAGGAACCCTACAGTAGGAGAAATGGAAACCAGCCTGTAGAGAATCACAAGTAGAGAACCCTTATGGTCTTCATGGTTTCAGTGGTCCCTCAGAATAGTGCACCCCATCCTCTGAATTGGTTATGTAGGTCAGTAAATTCTCCCTTTTAATTTAGGTAGTTAAGAGTTTTTGATTGTAATCAAAGGATTTAACTGATAGAAAGCTAGGATCAGTATTTTGTGTCTGGGGAAGATACAAGGAAGTCTAAGTTGACTTCCAGTCATCTATTTATATATCATATCTCTCTTATAGCTTTATAACTATATCCATGTCTGTTCCCTCTCCTAGATGTTGAACTCCTTGAAGGCACAGGCTTTATCTTAATCCATCTTGTTTGCTTTTAAGCCCATACCTAGCACAGTGTCTGAAACAAATTAGGTGTTCAGTAAAGTTTTGCTGTTGAATAGTAAAGTTCATATAAGATAAAGTTTCATTAATTTATATAGAATGTTTTCCCTTTGGGCAGAGTGTTAGTTTCAGGGATGGGAGAGAAGCATATTACACTGTTTTTCAGCCGTTTTTACCTAATGAGTGTTTGAAACATACTTCAAATCTTCCTCTTTATTGTAACCTTTAATGTTAACTACAATTTTTATCCTTTTGTATGCATAATATATACTTAAAGCCACATTTGATTTCTGCTTTAGGCTAAGAGAAATTATTTTTAAAGAGAGAAATTCCAAAGTACAACTCGAAGTTATGGTTCACAAACTTCAAAATGAAATTAAAAAACTAACTATTGAATTAATTAAAGCAAGAGATCAACAAGAGGATCACATTAGACACTTAAGAACCCTGGAAAAAGCATTAGAAAAAATGGAGAGGCAAAAAGGGCAACAGCAAGCAGCACAGGTACTTCTCTCTTTTAATCTATCCGTCATATGAATTAACACAAATTCATAGTTTTATCTAGAAACAGATTATATTGTTACAGAGTAAACTTAAAAGATATTAGGGTATATGCAAAAATTCATTTAAATGTAACAATTCCTGTGGAAATCTTTCTTTTCTTTTTGAAGATTTTATTTTTAAATAGTCTCTACAGCCAACATGGGGCTCGAACTTACAACCCCAGGATCAAGAGTCGCGTGCTCTACCAACTGAGCCAGCCAGGACTGACGGACACACACACCACACTGCCCCCCCCCCCACCTGCCCCCACCTCACTGTGGAATTATTCCTGACTAGCCCTCACAAAGCAGTTATAAGAACAGTTGGTGGAAATATTGTAGGTGATTAGGGTTGTATTATGAGAGCCAGGTTTTAAAAGTCTTTAGGGAGCCTGAAGATTTCATTTTCATACTTTCTGAGTGGAAATTATTGAGATCTATGATGTAATTAAGCTGTAGATAATGTTAGTGTGTTTGATGCTTCTAAGGCTATATTTTATGGGACCGTAGCATCATTAATTTAATAAATTTTGAAAATCAACTTAGTCACCAGTTCCTATTGAGAAGGCACTTTTCTTTGGAGAACTGGCATTAAAGTAGAAACAGGGAGAGTATTCTCTAAATACTGTAATTGTGTATATTTACTCAGATGCGACTTATCCAAGAGGTGGAGCTCAAAGCTGCCGCTGCTGATACAGAAATAAACTTACTTAGAACTTCTCTTCATCAAGAAAAGGAACAAGTACAGCAACTTCATGAACTTCTTGCATTGAAAGAAAAAGAACACAGGTAAATGAAAGATATATCAGGAAAATAATGACTTTTTTTTTTTAAAGATTTATTTTCATTTGAGAGCATGCTCGTGCATGCACATGTACACAAGTAGGAGGAGGGGCAGAGGGAGAAGCAGACTCCCCACTAAGTAGGGAGCCAGTCGTGGGGCTCAGTCCCAGGACCCTGGGATCATGACTTGAACCGAAGGCAGATACTTAACTGACTGAGCCACCCAGGCGCCCCAAATAATGACATTTAAAAATAGAAAAAGAAAAGTTTCTTCTCCCTACCCTACTCCTTTACCTAAAACTAGACTGATTGATCAGTGGTGAAATCTAACAATTAGTTTGTGAAAAATAACATGTTTATGTATGCATTAAAATCAGTCTTACATTAAGAACTAGTAGCTTAAAAACAAATAGGTGGCTTTATTGAGGTAAGAGCTTATAACAGTGAAGCTTATTTTGTATTTTTCCAAACCCAACCAAAAATGAGTCATTGTAATACAGAGAAAACTGTTTTAATTGACCTCCTAGTAACTACCTATTAATCAATAGTCTTTATTCTCTGAGGTGCCGGAGTCAACAAACTTTTTTTATGAAGGGCCAGATAGAAAATATTTCAGGCTTTTCAGGCCATACCAAACTATATTTTTGTAGTAAAAAAAGTAGCCATCGGAACTATGTAAACAAATGGCATGGCTGTGTTCCAATAAAAGTTTATTTCCCAAAAAGAGTCTCAGGCCAGATTTGGCCTATCAGTTGTAGTGTGCCATACCTGTTCTGTGGAATCCACAATAATTTGAACACTTGCAGCTAGTTATCTACTTACTGCCCTACCAGTTGAATTGTGTATTTGCCATGGGTTAATTGTGTTTGTTCCAAAAACCTGTTTTGTTTTTACCCTTACATAAATGAGTTTTTTTATTATAAATTAAATTTTGATGTTCTGGGGAAGATTGTCATCATATGCAGGGGCAGAATGACTGTAATAAAGACTGGGGGAGATAATTGTAAAAATTAAAATTTTGCACTGAGTTTCCTTTACAAATATATTTTAACTTCTTGTTCTAGTTTAAAGAAACCAAAACTAGAAATAATGGATTTTGTATTACGGGTTTGACTTACTCAGGAAAAATAGTGGAGAACTCTAAAGAATGAACTCACATTTAAATAAAAATAAACTTGCCCTGTATATCAAAAGATTGGTGAATAATTTCACACTTTAACTGATTTTTTTTCTATTAACCAACCACCAGTAACGGTCAGACTGTATTAGTTGTATATCAAAGATTCAGCCAAAGTAGAGGATATAGTGAAGTAGAATTTGACTTCTAAAAATGCACCTAAAGAATTTTAGAAGCCATACAATGACTCTGGACTATCTCAGTTTAAATATGGCATACTCCTTTTATCCCCATCACCACTGAATATACAATCAAATGAAACTCATATTCTTCCTCTACCATCCTGTGCCAGTTTCTTTGCTCCAAAGTTAGGAGCTGATTTTAAATTACAAATAGAGAATATACACTATTTTAACAACTATTTAAAGACCTTGAAAGTTTTTCTTTCCAGGTGAAATAGCATCCTGTGATTTTTATTTGTTTTTGCATTCCAGGAAAGAACTTGAAACAAGGGAGTTTCTCAGTGATGCTGAGTTCCAGGAAGCCTTAGCTAAAGAAGTAGCTAAAGAAGAAAGAAAGCATGAGCAAGATATAAAAGAATACCAAGAAAAAATTGATATATTAAACCAACGGTATATGGATTTAGAAAATGAATTCCGTATTGCTCTGACTGTTGAAGCCAGAAGATTTAAAGATGTAAGAATTGGCATCTAGCTTTTTATTGAAAACAGCATCAGCAAGATATGTTTGGATGAGAAGACTATACTTTAGAATTCTAGCTCTATTTACACATTGGCTATATGATTTTAAGCAAATTACTTAAATTCTTAGCACCTTAGTTTCTTCACATAAATAATAGCTACTCTTCAGTGCTGTTGCAAAAACTAAGATTATAAATGGTCAAGTAAAAGCACTAGAATTGGGCAGCCTGAATTCTTCTATTACTATAGAGCAGGAATTGGCAAACTAAAGCCCCTGGGCCTATTTTTTAAATAAAGTTTTATTAGAACAGCTACAGAAACAAATAGTTTCTAAATATTTGGAGAACTGCTATTTATAATGCAATTTTGAAATATAGGTTAAAGATGGTTTTGAAAATGTTGCAACTGAGTTAGCAAAGAGCAAGCATGCTCTTGTTTGGGCTCAACGAAAAGAAAATGAATCTTCCTCTTTAATTAAAGATCTGACCTGTATGGTGAAGGAGCAAAAAATAAAACTTGCAGAAGTTTCGAAATTGAAACAGGAAACAGCAACAAATTTACAGGTAAAACATTGTAACATTATATTTTCTTTTTAATTTTTTATGTCATGGTCTCAAGTATATCCTGACTATTTTAGGAAGTAACACAATTACAAACTTCTAATAATGCTAATTACACATCTGAGGTGTATGAGAAAAGTAATGTAACTAGGGGATTAAACCATGATTTCACAGATTGTATTGCTTACACTAAAATAGTATTTAAGTAAAATAAGTGACTTTAAGAAGTGTACTAAGAAAATAGGTGCCAGTTGTACAGTGATACAGCAAAAATTGTGATGGTGATACTCAGATGGTAACCTGAGTTTGGGAAACACCACGCGAATTGCTGATAATTTTGTGGTGGTCGTGGTTATTTTAGATATACCTAGCTGTAATAATTTTTAATTTTTTTTTTTTTTTAAGATTTTATTTATTTATCTGACAAAGAGAGACACAGCGAGAGAGGGAACACAAGCAGGGGGAGTGGGAGAGGGAGAAGCAGGCTCCCTGCTGAACAGGGAACCCGATGCGGGGCTCGATCCCAGGACCCTGGGATCATGACCTGAGCTGAAGGCAGTCGCCTAACCAACTGAGCCACCCAGGCGCCCAATTTTTAAATTTTTTAGTGCTTTTGCCTCAATTTCAAACATTAGTGGTATTTTGCCCAAAGGAACTTAATTCCTGAAAGTGTCCTTTAGATTATTGATATAAATGCTTGATGAGAAATTTTGAGTAGTCCATGTGTAGTTACTCTTTTAAGATACTGTTACTAGAAAAAAATTCAGAGATTTTAAAGGGATGGGTCTCTTAAATTTTGACGTTTTATTTTACGACCTATATCGGTCTCTAATAAAATTAAAACTTTTTCTGATGTAAAATTTAGGAGCATTTACTATGCATTTATTTGCTTAAACATTTTTTCTCGTAAAATGCAAAAAGTAAAAAATAAGCACTTAAATGTAATAATTACTTTGCTTTCCCCCCTCCCCCAATGTTTCTGGGGATGTACAGAATCAAATCAACACCCTTGAAATCTTGATTGAAGATGACAAGCAGAAGAGTATTCAAATAGAACTTCTCAAGCATGAAAAAGTCCAGCTTATTTCTGAGCTAGCCGCCAAGGAATCACTAATTTATGGTTTGAGGACAGAAAGAAAAGTATGGGGGCATGAGCTGGCACAACAGGGTAAAATTTTCAAATTTTCAAAGCGAAAGTAGCCCATTCTTCTAAATCAACAAATCTGGGTATTGAGAAAAGGAGGGGCTTATTAACTCTGCCTAAGACACACCAAAAAAGAAAGTGATACTTTATATGGAAGGATAAGTAGGTACAGCCAAGTGAAATGCCTCCTAAGATGTGAATTTATTACACGAGTTAGGAAGTTACAGCTCTGATTTTTTTGTTGTTGTTGGTTTTCTTCCCAATATAATTTGGCTACTTTTCTGAACAGGTCTACCTTTACAGTGCTACAACTAAGTCATTGAAAGAATTCTTTCTTATACAGTGCTTTTAAATTATTTGTATAGTACACAGTACTCAGTTTTTTCTAAAAATGTTGGTGACACTTATCTTGTTATGCATGGAGAAATGTGAGATAGTGTATGAATGAAAACCACTTTAGGTTTAGGTTAATTTACTCTTAGTCTCCTTTCTTTTCCCGTCACTATGAAGCAAGAGATAGACACAGTTTTCTGGCATTTGTAGATACTTTACAAATTATGAATAGCTAGATGTTGGTTTTAATGGAGAATTGCTTATTTGTCCATTACATATAAGAATCTTGAATATGATTTTTTTGTTTGAATGCCATAACTTCACCAATTAAATACTACATGTCTGAGTTACTTGTTCTTGATTTGGAATTTTAGGTTTTCCAAATAACCATGGGTGTTTAAAAGACCTTTTAGTTCTCTTCCCCTTTCCTTTCTGTTACGCTTTATATTGTTTTTTTATTCAGTTTTTCTTTTTATTTACTGTATTACATATTGTTAAATTAGATGTTCATAAAATACAACTCTTCCAAGGTCTTTTAAAGTTTGTTACTGCTGATGTTTATTTCTCAGGATCATCTCTAGCCTTAGATCGTGGGAAATTAGAGGCACAAATTGAAAGTTTATGTAGAGAGAATGAGTCTCTGAGAAAGGCAAATGAATGTGATAATGATGCATTAAGAATTAAGTGCAAAATCATAGAAGACCAAACTGAAACCATTGGAAAATTAAAAACTGTAAGTTTGATACTTTATTTTGGGAAAAGAGCATGTGGCAGATTTGTAAACCAGTGGATCAAATTAGCAAATAAATATCTATCTCAATGAATCCAAGCTGTTGTGGAATTTGGGACAGATTGTCATGTGTTTCCTTGTATGAAATATGCCCTTTGTCTTTTAAAAGGACTGTATGGCTTTTATTTATTAATTTTAAATTACTTTTACCTCAAAATCTTATGGGATGATGTTATTATGGCCTGTGAAATAACTGAAAATAGTGTCAATAAAGGGTTAGGAATCTTAAGAAAATTCCTGTTTTATATGTTTAAAATATCCTTTTAGAGCATTGTTTAGGATGTTCCAGTATTGCTAAATCACATCTCAAAATTATGACAAAACCAGCTATTCTATATTTAAAAATAAATTTCCCAGGGGAAACCATTTTTTTACCCTCTTCTTCAATATGGCCTATCTTTTTTTTTTTTTAAAGATTTTATTTATTTGACAGAGAGAGATGACCAGAGCAGGAACACAAGCGGGAGAGTGGGAGAGGGAGAAGCAGGCTTCCCGCCGAGCAGGGAGCCCGATGTGGGGCTTGATCCCAGGACCCTGAGATCATGACCTGAGCTGAAGGCAGAGACCTAACGACTGAACCACCCAGGCGCCCCAATGTGGCCAATTTTTTTTTTTTTTTTTTTTTTTAAGATTTTACTTATTTGTCAGAGCGTGCGCACGCGAGAAGGGAACACAAGCAGGGGGAGCAGCAGGCAGAGGGAGAAGCAGGTTCCCTGCTGAGCAAGGAGCCCGATGTGGGACTCGATCCCAGGACCCCGGGACCACGACTCAAGCCGGGGGCAGACGCCTAACCGACTGAGACCCAGGCATCCCCCAATATGGCCTATCTTAAGAGAGATACTAACAGGATTGTTTGCTTCAAAGTATGTTACATGAAAAATTTCCAGAGGAATTTTTTTAGTTATCTTGAGCACTGAATCAAATTTGATCTCCAAATTTTTCTCTGAGAGATTATCTCTTAAAATATAAAAATGGAGAAAAGAGTTAAGAAACTGCTAAATGAGATTACCACCCATTAACTCATTCTTCAGAGTAGCTATAATGGCCTAAGATTTATTTTTCCTTTTCTTAGTCACTTTTTAAAAAATTCCTTGAGAACTTTATCAAGTACAGAAAATCATCATTTATCACAATGTTGCCATATCCATAGCTAGATTTAGGCTATGAATGCCTGAACTATACCACCCTAAACAATTATATCGGTACTCCTCAATTGAAATTTGGTTTCCAAATTTCCACATCCAGGCATGCCCACATCCAAATTTGAAATTGTATCCAAAAATTCAAATATATATGTCATACATGCCAAGCAGCATGTATGGTAGCTAAGTAAGCCTTTTTAGCAGTAAGCCTTTTTTCTTATTTTAAAAATCTAGCCAAGCATATTTTCCTTTGAGTTAAGCTAAATATGAAACACAAAGACTTGTGATTTGCTTTTAAGTTTCACAGGGCAAAGCAGATGATACTCTGGGTATAATACATTGTTTTTGACAAAGCTACTTCCACGGAAGACTACGGCTTTTTTTTTTTTTTTTTTTTTTAAAGATTTTATTTATCTGACAGGGAGAGACACAGCGAGAGGGAACACAAGCAGGGGAAGTGGGAGAGGGAGAAGCAGGCTTCCCACTGATCAGGGAGCCCGATGCGGGGCTCAATCCCAGGACCCTGGGACCATGACCTGAGCCGAAGGCAGACGCTTAACAACTGAGCCACCCAGGCACCCCAAGACTGCTGCCTTCTTGTCAATCTCTGAGCAGGAAGGAAATGACTAGTAATGAATGATAATAGTTGATCTGAAACACAGAAGAGTTTTAGTTTTAGGTTTTTGGGTTTTTTTTTTAAATGTTCAGCCCATCATTTTTTTCCCCCACAATTTAGTACATTTATTCTAAAGAACATTGCATCATCCTCAAAGATATGAGTATTAGTGGTGCTTTCCCACTAATCATACAGCATAGAGAGATAGTTTGGCATAATTTCTTTCAGCAGCAAATTCATCATCACTAATACCTAAAACGGATAATGACCCTTATTTATTGTTAAATTAGATGTTCATAAAATAGAAATCCTCCGGGTCTTTTGAAGTTTGTTATTGATAATGTTGTTTCTCAGGCTTGTCTCTATCCCCAAATCATGGGAAACTAGGGGTTTGGAATGAAAGTTTATGTAAAAAGAACAAGTCTGCAAAAGGCAAATGAACATGATAATGAAGTTTGATGTTTTCAGTTTGGAGTTTGATAATTTCAATTAAATAGATTCTATAGTTAGCTTCTGACTATGGAAATCAGAAGCAGAAAATTTTTTAAATTCTCTTTCCTCCCCACATATTATTTTGGTACTTTTCAGTACATATGGCTCACATACTCTCTGATGATGCAGTATTTGTTATTTTTTATTAATAGGATTATTTCTTAAGACTCTTTTATAACTTTTGTGGACTCCCATAATATGTGGCAAGACTGCTCACTCTTAAGTGCTTCAGAGAGTCATGGGGAGAAAATAAACAATTCATGACTTTTATGCAGATGTTGCTCAAAACTACAAGACTACCTGACATCTTCGCTTAGAATTTTTAGATATGTAACACACTGAGGAATTGAACCACCTCTTTATAATACTTATGAATACATACTTATAAGTTAGCCTTTTCCAGTATTTATTTGTTTACCTCTATCTTCTTCCCAGAAGTAGGAAAAAGGGCAGGGTGGGGCAGAGGAAACAGGGTAAAAATCAGAACTACCAATTTCAACTTTTTCTCACTTGCAGAGACTGCTATCAGTAGGTGGTATATAGCAGGGCTATTCCAGACATCCAGGCATGCCCACATAAAGCAAACAAATGTTCACTGGAATGAATAACCTATATGAGGCCTAGTACCTGCAAACTTTTAACAGTGCCTATGGTAGTTTTGATCTTTCATTATCCCCTGATTTATAGTATGTAAATACAGGATGAAGTCTGGCTCATGGTACAGAAGATAGAATAAAAAATGTTTTGGGGAAATATAAAACCTGTTTTTATGTGACATTTTAATAGTGATAAAATCATACTTTATTTTGAAGTAAAGTATTTGCTCATCCTGATGCAGAAAGCACTTATGTTTAGCACAGTAGAAATAGCAGTTTAATTTGTGCCATGACATACACTGTGAATATCAGTCTTTGCTGTATCAGTCATCCACTCAGAGTTTTCTGTTTCTGTCATGAAATCATCTTTTCAAATGCAAAATTGCGATAATTGAAAATTTTATTGTGCTGCTTTCTTTTCCTTCTCTCTCCCTCTATGATTGATAATTGCCTAACTTACTGACATAAAAAATGTGAAGGGAATAAAACTCTTATTTTTGTTAACAGCACTTAAAGTAGTAGTGATGTTTCTTATTGATTGTGATTTAAAAATGTCCTGTAGGGGCACCTGGGTGTCTCAGTAGGTTAAGCGTCTGCCTTAAGGGTATGTCCTGTAAATCTCTTTGAAAACACTCAATAAATATTCAGTTTATTTATTTTTTAAGATTTTATTTACTTATTAGAAAGAGCACAAGCGGGGGGAGGGGCAGAGGGAGAGGGAGAAGCAGGCTCCCCACTGAGCAGGGAGCCCGAAACAGGGCTTGATCCCAGGATGCCTGGACCCGAGATCATGACCTGAGCTGAAAGCAGATGCTTAACCAGTTGAGCCACCCAGGTGCCCTTCAATTTATTTTTTTAATTTGTAGTTTTTAGAATAATTTTAAACCATACCTAATTTAGGAAATGAGACATTTAGGATTAATAAAAGTAAAGTGCTGATTTTTTTTCTTCAAGTGTGTACAAGAAAGAGAAGAACAAATCAAAATATTACAAGAAAAGATCACTGAAATACAAAAATGTACTCAAGAACAACTTGATGAAAAATCTTCACAACTAGATGACATAATTGAAAAACTGGAAAGACACAATGAAAGAAAAGAAAAACTAAAACAACAGTTGAAAGTAAAGGAGTTAGAACTTGAAGAAATTAGAAAAGCTTACAGGTATATAGTATTTCCTGTTGAGAAATAAAATGTGGCTAAATAATTTCATATAACCAGTTTTATTTTTTAAATTGTTTTTTTTTTTTCATATTAGTACACTTAATCAGAAATGGCATGATAAAGGAGAGCTTCTAAGTCATCTTGAAATGCAAGTAAAAGAAGTGAAAGAAAAATTTGAAAACAAGGAAAGGAAACTTAAAGCAGAAAGAGACAAAAGTATTGAACTACAAAAGTAAGCACTAAGTCCCAAAGTATGTGGGAGATCTTTAAACATAAACACTGAATTGGGATGGGTGAGGTAATGTAAAAAGAAGGACAGAGAAAAGGACTAAACACATGTTGGACTTGGTTATTTGCAAAGTAATTTACTTCCATTCTATCTATAAAATATAGATAATAGTTCCTACCTCCAATGTCTGATGTGAGGTTTGAATTTTGTGTATATGTATATTCATGTATATATATGGCTTGTATGAGTTACTTAGTGCCTGACACATAATAATTGCTGTGGAAAAATACTAATTATACTCTATAGAAAGTTTTAATTGGTAATACAGTTACTTGTTTGTCTGTTAACAGACCCTGTTCCACTTTGCTTTCAACCAGCAATAATACAGGGACTTTGGCTTGGAACCTGTTGTAATTTTCTCTCCTGCCTGTCATAATTTGGAGTCTTTTATATCCTAAAAGAAATAATCATTTCTTTTTTTTTTTTAAGATTTTATTTATTTATTTGAGAGAAAGAGAGAATGAGAGACAGAGAGCATGAGAGGGAGGAGGGTCAGAGGGAGAAGCAGACCCCCCGCTGAGCAGGGAGCCCGATGGGGGACTAGATCCCGGGACTCCAGGATCATGACCTGAGCCGAAGGCAGTCGCTTAACCAACTGAGCCACCCAGGTGCCCAGAAATAATCATTTCTGATAAATAGCAGTTCCTAAACTTTAATATAAATCATAAAGCCTGATAGTTTTCAGAATCTCTTATATTACATTGTTTATTGTTGTGTTAATCACAAAACAGTAAAGATCTGATTTTTTTTTTATTTTACACATTAATGCTTTTATGACTAAGATTAGTATATATGATTTTTGACTTAATAGAATTTTAAGAAAAACATTTATTTATATAGCTTTTTATGATATATAAATTGATTTTTTTTCTTATATCTTAATTTGAACCCAGCAGTAGTTCTGTGAGGTTGGCAGAGCAGGTAGGATTATCCTGTTTTATAGTTAGTTGAAAACTTAAATGCAGAGTTTGTGACTTGCCCTTAAGTCATATGGCTACTAAGTGTTGCAACTGGGAATAAAAAAGACTTGATTCATGGACCCTAATGTTCAATCCATTATTACTATGGGCTATACCAAAAGCAGAAAATGTGTTCATTATGGACTTAACTTTTTAAATAAAATTATTCACATTTAATATAAAGGAATTGGTTCTGTGCCTATAAGAAACTTTTAGCAATAAATTTTGTGAATACTATTTAATGTCTTTATTAACATAGAGTATTATCGGTTAAGCATTAACATAGAGAAGTCAGACATACAATACATATTCATAAACTTAAACCTTCCTATAGTGTATACCTCTCAAATTAGCATACTACAAACCGATGGGGAAAAAAAGGTTGATAATAGTCATCTGTGAATGTGCTTATAAATCACTAGACTCAAAACAAATGAGAACTCAAGTACTCTAACTTTTAGAGGGTGAAAGTGTAACAAATTTTCATTGATTTTACCCTACCTTGTTGTGTTACTAACAGATTCCACTGGATGATGAACCCAAGATAGCCCTTTGCCACTTAATGGAGTTATACTTCCATTAAAATATGAATATAAGAGTTGCCATCTAAGAAGAAAAAAAAATCCTAATTTTTATGCACAAAGATACATAGTTTTTGTTTTATTTTTAAGGGATGCGGTGGAAAAGCTTCATAGTATGGATGATGCCTTTAAAAAACAAGTTGATGCAATTGTTGAAGCTCATCACGCTGAAATAATACAACTGGCAAGTGAAAAGCAGAAATACATTGATTCTGCAAATTTAAAGGTACTATAAATAAAAAGTACAATCCATCATTATTTTGGAAAAAGTTTCCAAAGAGTATTTTATTAATTAGGGTTTTAGACTATCACTGATGGTTTTGAATGATATCATTTAATATCATTGACAGAGGAACTTATTAGGGTGATGTTAAATCAGAGGTAGACATCAGAATCACCTATAGAGCTTTTTAATAATACACATGCATGAGCTTCCCCCTCAGAGACTTTCATTTCCTAAGTCTCTGGTTAGACCTAGGTGTTTTTAAAACACAACAGGTAACCCCTGTTTGGTTTGATACGACCCGTCTGTTGAGATCCACTAGGTGAGTGGACAGTTAGAAATTTCCATTTTCCCTTGATTCTGAAGCAGCAGTAAGAAACAGATATCTGTGAGACAGAGATTGAAAATCTGCTAACTGGGAAAGAGTTCATAAACAGAAAGAGTAACTCCATATAATTATAATGACAGTTGTGTGATTAGTTGACATAACCCTCAGGAGTCTGTGTGAAAAAAAAAAGCAACAAGGTCTTTGGAAATAATGACAATAAATAAGGAAGTATAACTTGTTCAAAATGTAGTTCTTTATTTTATTCCAGGTCAACAGATGTTTCAGAAGTTTTCTTTATAATCTACCAAGTGTTAACAAGGGTGCATCAGGTAATACCAAATAAAGCATAAGATTAGGTCCTTAGCTGAAAGGAAAATATTGAGTTTAATTTTGGACCTCTGGTGCCAATATGGTGTAATAGCAAAGGGATGTTAGAGAGTTACAGAAATGGCACCAGGGCTTACGTGTGATAATCGTGAAAAAAAATTACAAATTATTACATAAAGATGATAATTTAAATTAGGAGAAATACAGTTTTCTAGGGAAAAAGACTAGGAAGTCTGTATTAGAGATTCAGAAGAGGGAAGTAAACAGAAAGGAATGGTCATATTGATAGCATTATTAGGAATGTTGTGTCATAGGAGAGAGAGTTTCAAGCAGAAATTAATAGTATACAATACAGAGAATCCTAGGAGAATATAGGCTAGGAAGGAATGATAAAATTATCTCTCAAAAAGATGGTAATTTATAACCAACAGGAGTTTTAGAAATGCAGTAGACCAGATTAAAGCGTTTCTTTGGGAAGGGAGGTTATCTCAGTTTTAAAAGTCTACAAGGAACTGATGTTTTAGTTGAACTCATGACTCCTGATTCATACATAGCACAGGACAGTGGAAAGATTAAGTCAGAAGACTGAGTTTCTGTTCATATGTGCTACTGAGAAACTGCACAACCTTGAACAAATTTTCTAAGCTCTAAAATACAGTTAAGATAAATGACCATGTGCTCATCATAAGAATCTGTGAGATCTAGACAATATTAAATGTAAGTACTTTGTGTACAGTATTAGTATTTGAACAAGTTACATTATACATACCTCTTTGCTTTAAATGAATACCACAAGTTACAAAATTCTAAGAGTGAAGTTTGACTTTTTCTTTCATTATGCATTTTTAAAATATATTTTCTTTAAAAAATTTAAATGCAAAATTTACATGTTGATTTAGGTTCATCGAGTTGAAGAAGAAATGCGTGAACTTCTTCAGGAAACATGCAAGAACAAAAAAGCAATGGAAGAAAAAATTAGGCAACTTGCTTTTGCTCTAACTGAAATTCAGCAAGAAATGTGATGGTTCTGAGAATGAATTTAATTGAAATGGAACAGCAGACCTATTGTAAAAATGATTAAATATTGTAATAGTAGTAACTGCTATGACTTTGAAATGTCTCTTTCTACACATTTCATTCTAATTATATTTTAAAAGACTTTTGATCAAGTATTTTTTAATTGTATATGTAGGTTTTTATAATAAATTGTTGATAATTATGTGTACTAGAAAAACCTATCAAAATAACTAGAGTTACAACACTTTCTTGTTTCTGTGCTATACATTGTTTGGTAATTACACATTTGTCTTCAAATATGTAAATGGAAATTAACATTAGTATTTGGACTATATGAGGTAAAGTATTTTCATCATTGTTGTTACCTTATTGTGTTGATGAAGAACTAATTATATTTATTGGTCATCCTTTAGTTGACGTAGCTCCATTTTTTTTTTAAATGCTCATAAGTGTAGCTGAAAAGTATTTGAAGTCTGTATGTTAAAAGATACGGCATTCTTTACAAAGCATATGTAGCCATCTCCACATCACTCATAAAGACCCTTTTTTTTTTTTTTAAGGTTTTATTTATTTGACAGAGAGAGCACAAGCAGAAGGAGAGAGAGGGAGAAGCAGGTTCCCTGCTGAGCAAGGAGCCTGATGTGGGACTCGATCCCAGGACCCTGGGATCATGACCTGGGCCGAAGGCAGCTGCTTAACCGACTGAGCCACCCAGGCGTCCCTAAAGACCCCTTTTTTATAATGCATATGACTTCTTCATTAAAGATTACATATAAGGTTTCATAAACATCATCTGTTCTTCAAGAGGAACACTGCTGTTACACCTTCGTTTTCCCTTCTAATCACTGTATTTGAAAGAATTCTTATTTTTGTCATCTCTTATGTTGCTATATATGCAGAACAAAAACCTAGGTACTATCACTATTTCTAAAAGAAAGAATATAATATCCCATTTTTAACTAATAGCCACTGAACTAAGTTGTTTGGGGTTTTCTTTGTTTTTTTATCATGGGGCTTGAACTCAACGACCCTGAGATCAAGACCTGAGCTGAGATCAAGAGTTGGACACTTAACCAACTGAACCACCCAGACACCCCTGAACTAAGTTTTAAAAATTAAATGCAATCAGAAGAGTAAATGTTTCTAAAAGAGAGGGCTCCATTTCGTGAGAGGCAAGCTTCTTATTGAGCTCTGTGGGACGGCATCAAGCATACCAACATGCACAATGGAGGTGGGAGAGCAAGGCATAAAAAATAATTGGAAAAATAATAGCTGAAAATTTCCTAAATGTGATGAAAAGATTAACCCACAAATCCAAGAACTTCAGTAAAACCCAGGATAAACCCAAAGAGAGCCACACCTAGATACTTTAAAGTCAAACTCGCGGGAAATTCTTGAAAGCAGCAAGAAAATATGATTCATGTAAAGGAACAATGTGATTAACTGTTGACTTCTCATCAGAAACAGTAAAGGCCAAAAAAAAAACAAAACAGTAGAGGCCAGAAGGCAGTAACATACTTGAGGTATGGGAGAGAAACGAACTATCAACCAAGAATTCTACATCCAGCAAAACTGTCAAGATAAATGCAAAATAATGGCATGCCCAGACAATTGACAAAATTTATCGCTAGCCAACTTACCTTAAAAGAAATATTGAAGTCCTAAAGGCTGAAAGAAAATGATTCCAGACAGTAACTCAAATCCACTGGAAGAAATGAAGAATATTGGGAATAGTAAACATGTAGGTAAGTTCTCCTAAGACTGTATAAATACATTTTTCTTCTGTTAACTAGAAGATATTATATACAGCAATAATTGTAACACTATATTGAATTCACAGCATGTGTAGGTGGGCTTTGTGTGACAAAAACAGCAAAAAGTTGGAACAAAATATATTTTGCTAGATTAATACTAATCTAAAGATGACTGATAAAATGCATATTGTAATTCCTACAACAGCCACTAAGAAAATAACCCAATTACATTTGAAAAATCAACAGAGTTCCCCACTTCTAGAATGGCAGCGCAAGGAATTCTGTGGACGTGTTTTCTAGCAAAACAACCACAACGGTAAAAAGTGTTTTATTTTTTATTTATTTTTCAAGATTTTATTTCTTTGAGAGAGCAGGGGGAGGGGCAGAGGGAGAAACAGACTCCCTGCTGAGGGGGGGGGACCCAACATGGAGCTCTGTCCCAAGACCTCAGGATCATGATCTGAGCCGAAGGCAGACACCAACTTTGCAGCCACCCAGGCGCCCTGTAAAAATTATTTTAAAACACCCATTTAAAGTCTGAAAATTGTCCTAAGAGCATACGGCAAATGAAAAAGCATTTCTTCAAGAAAATTTATTAAGTCGCTGTAAGAAGAGGAAAAGCCTTCAATAGATTCCTTAAAATGCCCAGTTTTCACCTAAAAAAGTAGGAGACCTGCAAAGAAATAGAAAAGGGGGACCCATACAGAGGGTAAAAAAGCAGGCAAGGAAAAATACTTGTAAGAGGGCCCAGATACTAGATAAAAGAAGACTTCAAAACCACTATATGTTCAAAAGACTGAAGGAAAGCATGCTTTAAAAGTAAAGGAAGCTGTGTTACTAGAGCTCACCAAATAGAGAATAAAGAGAAATATTTTTTAATGAAATTTTACTTTGGGGGCTCTACAGTGTATTTGAGCCAGCGGAAGAATCTGAACTTGGAGATTATGCAATTTGAAGAAGAGACAAAATATTGAAAAATTAACAGAACCTCAGAAATGTGGATCACATTAACTGCACCAACATACAGTGAAGTTCAAAAGGAGAGAGAAAAGAGTGATGTATATGAATTCTAAAGTATATGTAAAATATATAACCTATTTATTAGAAGAAATAGTGGCTCTAAGCTTGCCAAATTTGATGGAAATCATGAATTTACATTCTCGGGCGCCTGGGTGGCTCAGTTGGTTAAGCAACTGCCTTCGGCTCAGGTCATGATCCTGGAGTCCCGGGATCGAGTCCCGCATCGGGCTCCCTGCTCGGCAGGGAGTCTGCTTTGCCCTCTGACCCTATCCCCTCTCATGTGTTCTCTCTCATTCTCTCTCTCTCAAAATAAATAAATAAAATCTTTAAAGAAAAAAAAATCATGAATTTACATTCCCAAGAAGCTAACTTCAAGTAGGAAAAATTCATAGCCACACCCACATAGTAAAAAATACTGAAATTGGAAGAAATGTGAGAAGTCCCCAAATATTTGCAAATTAAACTGCAACTTCTAAATAACCTATGAGTCAAGAAATGACAGAAAAGGTGCGATAGAGGAATGGGCACTGTATTGACCCATGCTGTGTCTGGGGAAGGGACGTTGCACAGATAGGATTCAAAGGCTCCAGAGGTTTAAAAAATCATTTGGCTTTCTGAGTTGTGGGGCCCAAGAAAGGCTGCCTACACTGTAACCTATATCTGGATCCAAAAATCTTTTTTTCCCCAGTTGTATTGAGATATAATTGATATGTAACAATGTATAAGTTTAACGTATACAGCATAATGATGTATGTATATATTGTGAAATGATTACGATAAGTTTAATAATATCCATCACTACACAGTACATTTTTTCTCTTCTGATGAGAACTTCTAATATCCACTCTGAGCAACTTTCAAATACACAATACACAACTGTTAACTATAGTCATCATGCGTACTACATCCCCAGAACTTAAATATATCTTATCTAACTGTAAGTTTATACCTTTTGACCACCTTCATTCAATTCCCCCCACTCCTGGATCCAAAATCTTGATTTATAAGTACCTAGACTTAAACTCACTAGTCTTCTAGTTTCTGTTAGTACATACCAGCCACCAAATTCCTAAAGCCAAGATATGCTGTCTTTAATACTGAGTTCCTGCAAGGTTGGGATGTTAGGTAGAGAAGTTCCAGTTTAGTTTTCTGGGGGATAATTGGAAAAGATATTCTACCTGCTCTCAACCACCGAAATCCCAAAATGTTCACTCACATGGCCAAACGCTGAGTAAAGTTTGGGGGAATAGTTTGTCCTCTCTTCTGTTGAGTTATCAGAAAATAAACAGCAGCTGCTACCCTTCTTCATTAAACCCTACTAACACTTAAATATCATCAATGCAGTGGACGAAGTAGTAATGTCCTTAGGTTGATATCATTGCAAGTTCCAGTAAATGAATCTGCAACAATTAATAGATGAGTCTGTATTTTATGGAGTAGGAGAGTAACCCTGCCAAAGTTGTGACTATTTAATTCATTTGGAAGATTTTCATCAAGAAGTCTTGATATCCCATCTGATTTGTGATTTGTGGGCTAGGATACCACCACTAGTGGTGGGCCCCAATTATCTCTATTTCTTTACTTCCTTTGGCAGTATGAGACTGCTGCTCATGACTAATTTATGGCTTAAATCACAATGACCAAGGGAGACACAAGCAGCTGAACATACTGGTATAATTGACTCATTTATACATTAAGTGGATGTAACCACCATTTTTGTCTAAGTGCCTGCTCTAGAATACATAGTTATTTCGGAGTGCCTGGAGTGTGACTATTCTTTCATTATGGCTCTGTCATGCTGGTGTTTCCAACATTTATTGCCACATCCTGGGATATAAGCCACAGTCTGACCTAATTGCTTCCCATCAGATAGCTCATGCCTTATCCTGCCTAGAACCCCTTAAGATGTGTTGAATCAGGCACACAGCCACCTAAAAAGCAAAACAAACACCTATTTACTAGAACTTAGGAAACGAAACCTAGAGCAGAAACAAATTTCCCTGATCCTTATCCTTACCTCAGGGTCTTGAAGAAAGATAGTCTCAGGGACCCCTGGGTGGCTCAGTCGTTTAGGCATCTGCCTTTGGCTCAAGTCATGTTCCCCGAGTCCTGGGATCAAGTCCCGCATTGGGCTCCTTGCTCGGCAAAGAGCCTTCTTCTCCCTCTTCCTGCTGTTCCTCCTGCTTGTGTGCTCTCACTCTCTGTCTGTCAAATAATAAAATCTTAAAAAAAAAAAGAAGGAAAGAAAGAAAGGCTCAGGCTTTCAGGAAATGGTAAGAATCATATATATATATATATATATATCTCCTGTTTATAGTGGGTGTGCGGTCTTTGGTTTTACTGGAAGTGAATTTTAGGGAGGATCAATCCATGGGGTCTTCTATGAGACTCATCAAATCAAAATGTTCTTTTCTGAACGTTCTTTTCCAAGAGGCTGCTGTGCAGTTTTCCAGCGTGACTCCTACCAGGCTTTGGAAGGGCTTATATTTAATAGTTACATCTGTCAGGTTAGTTGTTAGTTACAACACCTGTAATTAGACTGAATTTTGCCTTTTCTTTCTTCAAGAAGTGTATGAATTGTAGTCTTCTCCCACACAGATAGATCTAATTAAGCAGTGCTTTATAAATGAAGTTGGATTTTTTTTTTATTCTGTCAAACTTTTGGAATATCCTTTTATTTAAACCCAAAGAGATGATGGCTTTTACAACCTTGAGAATTTAGGGCCTAAATACCATAAGAATCTTTGAAATCTTTCCAGGATTTTGGTTAGTGTCAGGCTATAGTAGTTAACTATTTGACATTTCATGGGTGTATGAACCCTCCTCTTCCCCAGTCCCACCTTGCCATAGGCTGCCCTTGTAGTTGCCACAGCTTTGAATGGATTATCTTTTTTAGCCATTTTTTCATTTTTATCTCCATACTGCTGTATTTGTTGGTAGTGTAACTGTCTTGCTTTGATTTATGTCATTTTTTATGTTTTTAAGTAGGCTCCATGCCCAGTGGGACTCAATCTCACCACCCTGAGATCAAGACCCAAGCTGAGATCAAGAGTCAGACACCAGGGGTGCCTGGGTGGCTCAGTGGGTTAAGCATCTGCCTTCAGCTCAGGTCATAGTCCCAGGATCCTGGGATCAAGCCCTGAGTCGAGCTCCCTGCTCAGTGAGGAGCCTGCTTCTCCCTCTCCCTTTGCCCCTCTCCCCAGCTCATGCTCTCTCTCAAGTAAATAAATAACATCTTAAAAAAAAAGGGATGCCTGGGTGGCTAAGTGGTTAAGTGTCTGCCTTTGGCTTAAGTTGTGATCCTGGAGTCCTGGGATCAAGTCCCGCATCGGGCTCCTAGCTCAGCGGGGAGCCTGCTTCTCCCTCTGTCTGCTGCTTCCTCTGCTTGTACTCTCTCTGACAAATAAATAAATAAAATCTTCCAAAAGAAACAAACAAACAAAAAGAGACACCTAACCAACTGAGCCACCCAGGCACCCCAGTAACTGTTTTGCTTTTAGATTCTGTTTTCTTAGTATATGGCTCATGGTGGGAGACTGAGGATCTGTCTATGCCACTTATTTTCATTATTTTTAAACCTTTGAGATGGAGGGGCTTCCTGATTGGCAGATATTTTCTTCTGAACAGTAGTGAAAACAACATTGGTTTGCACTTTTACAAGCCCGGAATACCCTTTCTGCTCTCAGTGTTTACAATGCTGGCATACATCGCCTACTATTTTGTAAACACTGTTGAACTTATGAAATCTGTGTACTTGCTCTCTTTACTGATATAACCCACATAAAGATTCTGAACTTTGAGAGCAAATTCTTTATGATGCATAACTGGCTAAAGACTAGAAGAGTACCCAGTGTGCAATGGCTCCTTGGTAGTGTATGTAGCCTGCTGATTGTATGGGGTCCCCTAAGGGACTTTGGAGATAGCCCTTTCCAGTGGGCATTGATGTCTGACCTCATGCTATCTCCAGTCTAGGCTGCAGACAGGTATGAGGGGTGCTTTGGAAAGCACAGTGGCCAGGGTCCATGTTGGCCAAGTCATCAAGTCCATCTGTACCAAGCTGCAGAACAAGGAGCATGTAATTGAGGCCCTACACAGGACCAAGTTCAAGCTCCCTGGCTGCCAGAAGATTCACATTTCTAAGAAGTGAGGCTTGACTAAGTTTAATGTGGATGAATTGAAGATACGGTGGCTAAAGAAAAAACAGCTCATCCCAGATGGCTATGGAGTCAAATATATCCCTGATCATGGCCCCTTGAACGAATGGTGGGTTCTGCAGTCATGAGAACCTGGGCACTGCCCCCTCCTTATTCATTCCCATCAGTAAATCCTACTTCCTGTCAAAAAAAAAAGACTAGAAGAGTAAAATGTTTTTCTTCCTGTCAGCTAAAAGACAAATAAGTGTTTACTAAGCTTCAACTGGTTATGATCACGAAATAAATTGATACACTTAAAAACTGGTGTAACATCATGAATTTCCTCTTCATGATTTCTGTCATATGTTCACACTACCCAAATTGTTAGCTTCTTGTTAGTTTTCCTAAAACTGACTGACTTTTAAAAATTAAATACCTCTTTTAGCCACAATTTAAATAATGTAAGTTAAATCACTAGTTTGATGTTCTGGTTATGTTTGTTTTAAGATTTTCTCAATTCACATTAAATCAGTCACGCACGTATTACAATTAAAAAGTGCTTCACCATGTAATCCGCTAAAATCATTCTGTGTGATACCAGTAGTGTATGCGCCACACATTAGAAGAGAGACAAATTGTTGGATGGGCTACTGACTGAGGACAGTTCCCCAAAGTAGTATTTTGGCTTTTCCATTTTTTTCCATTTTACAAAGCATTTTTTCTTCTCAGAGATTCTAACAGCACATATTATTTGATTTGGTAATGTTTATGGCTAAGATGACTTAGTTGGAAAACATCCACTGATGAGTCTGCATTTAATTTTTGCTGAATAAAGTATTTTTTATAATAGCATACATATAATTATATAAGTATGTGTTTTATAAATAAAACACTTTATTTACAAGGGTGCCTGGGTGGCTCAGTTGGTTAAGCGACTGCCTTCGGCTCAGGTCATGATCCTGGAGTCCCTGGATCGAGTCCCGCATTGGGCTCCCTGCTCGGCGGGGAGTCTGCTTCTCCCTCTGACCTTCCTCCTTTTCATGCTCTCTGTCTCTCATTCTCTCTCTCTCAAATAAATAAATAAAATCTTTAAAAAAAAACAGTTTAATTACAGTGGAACAAGATATTATAGTACATATTTTAAGGTTAGATAATTCTTGGATACCTCTTGTCATCTTTTTTTTTTTTTTTTTAAAGATTTTATTTATTTATTTGAGACAGAATGAGAGAGAGAGAGCACATGAGAGGGGGGAGGCTCAGAGGGAGAAGCAGGCTCCCTGACGAGCAGGGAGCCCGATGCGGGACTCGATCCAGGGACTCCAGGATCATGACCTGAGCCGAAGGCAGTCGCTTAACCGACTGAGCCACCCAGGCACCCCCTCTTGTCATTATCTTGAAGGATTTACTTATTTGTTTACTTAGAGTGCTTTATCTTTCATTTAGGGAATAGGTTTCCTGGTACTGCACAAGGAATTGAATGATGTGGGGATCATTAGTGGTGAAAAATTATCTTTTGACAACACTTTTGACATGGAATCATTCCCTCTTGGTGATAAATCCAAAAATTTTCAACACTCATTTGACATAGGGTTTTTGTTGCCAAAGGGTTTGTATCGGAGGGTACAAGTTTGCGTCTTAATTGGGGCAATGTATTATGA